TTAAGAATTGATCATAGTTTCAAAGAGGAAAAAAACGTCAAGTGAAGATTGACCTATTTTATCTGATCACACTGTCTCCTCTCCGACCTATTATTATTATTATTATTATTATTATTATTATTATTATTAGAACATTTCTATGCCACCCCTTGCTGAAGCCTCAGGGCGGCTTACAACACAATAAAATACAATACAATACAAAAATAACAATATAAAATTAAAATTAATAATATAAAATAAATAAAAAATATAAACTATATAAAAGAAGTTATAAAAGAAAAGTTATAAAAGAAAAGAAAAGAAGTCGCCCTGGCCAGATAAATAAGTAAATATTGTTAACAATTAAAATGACGTTTAAATAAAAAGGTCTTCACCTGGTGCCAAAAAACAAATAACGATGGCGCCAGGTGGACCTCTCTGGGGAGCACATTCCATAGATTGGGCGCCACCGCAGAGAAAGCCCTCCTCCGAGAACCTACCCTCCTAATTTCTTTCACGGAGGGTTCCCGGAGAAGGGCCTCTTCTGCAGATCTCAAGGGGCGGTTGGGCATATACGGACGTAAGCGCTCGTTCAGGTAGCCAGGACCCAAGCCGTTTAGGGCTTTGTAGGTCATAATCAACACCTTGAATTGGGCCCGGGCTTCAATGGGAAGCCAGTGAAGCTGACGGAGGACTGGAGTCATGTGAGCATAACGCCCTGTCCCCGTCAGCAACCTGGCAGCTCTATTTTGCACCAATTGAAGTGTTCGGACTGTCTTCAGGGGAAGCCCCACGTAAAGCGCGTTACAGAAGTCTAGGCGGGAAGTCACCAGCGCGTGTGTCACCGTCGCCAGGCAGTCATACTCCAGGTAGGGGCGCAGCTGATTAATCAGCCGAAGCTGAAGGAAGGCGTTCCTCGCCACCGCTGTCACCTGAGCTTCCAAAGAAAGCTCCGGGTCGAGGAGCACTCCCAAGCTGCGGACCTTGTCCCTAAGAGGGAGTGTTGCACCATTCAGGACCAGGTCAAACCCACCCTCTCCGAAACCCGATCCGCCAACCAACAGGACCTCCGTCTTGTCTGGATTTAGCTTCAGTTTATTGGCCCTCATCCAGCCCATTACCTCGGCCAAGCACCGGTTCAGCACAGCCACTGCCTCACCTGGATTAATGGAAAACGAGAGGTAGAGCTGGGTATCATCAGCGTACTGATGATTCCGCAGCCCACACCTCCTGATGACCTCTCCCAGCGGTTTCATGTAGATGTTAAACAGCAAAGGGGACAAAATGGAGCCCTGTGGTACTCCATGGCATAGCTGCCATGGCGCAGAGCCATAGTCCCCCAGCACTACCTTCTGGAATCGGCCGTTGAGATAGGAGTGGAACCACTGCAAAGCAGTGCCTCCGACCCCCAATCCCGCTAGCCTATCCAGAAGGATACCATGGTCGATGGTATCGAAAGCCGCTGAGAGGTCCAGAAGAACCAACAGGGATGCACTCCCCCTGTCCTTCTCCCTGCACAGGCCATCGTACAGGACAACCAAGGCAGATTCAGTACCGTACCCAGGTCTGAAGCCGGACTGAAATGGGTCCAGATAATGTTTCATCCAAGAGTGCTTGGAATTGTCCCGCCACCACCCGCTCTAACACCTTGCCCAGAAACAGGATGTTGGCCACTGGTCTATAGTTAGTGGCCATCTCTGGATCCAGTGACGCTTTCTTCAGGACCGGTCGGACTACCGCCTCCTTTAAAGGGGCAGGCACCCGACCCTCCCTCAGAGAAGCGTTAACCACTTCCAAGATCCAGGTCCCAATCCCGTGCTTGGAATTATTTATTAACCAAGATGGGCAAGGGTCCAATAGGCAAGTGGTGGGATGTACTCGTCCAAGCACCTTGTCCACATAATCGGGCTGCAATAACTGAAATTCATCCAATAATTCTGGACCAGATGGCAGCATTGGCGTCTTCCCAGAAACCTCTGATTCATTAGTGGAGTCCAGCTCGTGACGAATCTGAGCGATTTTCTCCCTGAAATGCCTGGCAAAGTCGTCACAGTGGGCCTTTGAGGGTGGAACCAGATCTTCCTTAGGACCCGGGCAAACCAGGCCTTGCACCACTCGAAAAAGCTCCACCAGACGGCATTGTGAGGAGGCAATGGAAGCGGAAAAAAACTTCTTTTTCGCTGCCTTCACCGCCACAGCATAGGCCCGATAGTGGGCTCTCAAGTGTATTTGGTCAGATTCATCCCATGATTTCCTCCACCTGCGCTCTAGTTGCCTCCCAACCCACTTCATCGCCTGCAATTCAGGTGTATACCAAGGGGAAGAGCGGACTCTGCCCGGAGGGAGAGGTTGCTTAGGGGCGATCGTGTCCACAGCCCTGGTCATCTCTCCGTTCCACAGTTCGACCAGAGCCTCGACAGGAGCACCAGTCTTGTCACCCGGAAACTCCCCCAGGGCTTTCAGGAATCCATCCGGATCCATCCGGCTCCGGGGGCGGACCCACACAATCGGATCCACACCCTTACAGAGGGAGAGGTCACTCTCGAGCACAAACCTCACCAGGAAGTGATCTGACCATGACAGGGGAGTGAAACATAAATTTCTCACCCTCAGGTCACCCTCTTCCTGCCCCGTCGAGAAAGCCAGGTCCAGAGTGTGTCCACGTTCATGGGTTGGGCCGGAGACATGTTGAGACAGGCCCATGGCCGTCATGGAGGCCATGAAGTCCTGAGCCGCCCCGGTCAGACCAGACTCAGCATGGAGATTGAAGTCCCCCAGGACCAACATCCTGGGGGTCCTCAACACCAGGTCCGAGATGGTCTCCGTCAGCTCAGATAGGGAGACTGTTGGGCAGAAGGGTGCACAGTACACCAACAGAATCCCCAATCTGTCTCGTTCGCCCAACACCAAGTAGAGGCACTCCAGCCCTGGCCTCGAAGGGACAGGAAGTCCCCTGAGAGAGATGGAGGCTCGGTAAACCAAAGCAACCCCCCCTCCCCTCCCCTCTGGGCGTGAACAGTGCTAAACCAGATACCCGGGCGGGCACAGTTGAGAGAGGGCAACATCCCCCCCCCTCCCACCCAGGTCTCTGTTATGCAAGCCAGGTTGGCCCCCTCCTCCACAATCAAGTCATGGATGAGGGAAGATTTATTATTGACCGACCTGGCATTGAGCAGCAGCACTGTCAGGCCTGAGGGGCGGTTGGCAAGGCTACCTGGCACCCTCTGGCTGGGGGAAGAACCAGAAAGAACCATGTCGTACCCCAAATCCATCACTTCAATTTGATCAAGCAGCATCCTGCTGGTTCTGCTGTGAGGTCACAAATGACCATATGCCTGCCATTCAGGGTCGAAAGATGAGGTTTCAATATCTTCTCAAAAAGCAAGACTTCCCCATCCAATGCATTAAATATGCCTCGGATTAAAATCTCGCTCATAACCTCCCAGTACACGAGACAAAAGCAATCTGAATACATACAGGGTCTCCATAACCCTTATGAAAAGAACCCCTTGAATGGCAAGGGCGCAGCAGTAGCTTGAGCAGCATTGAGTGGCACTAACACAGACCCAAACACAGATCTGAACTAATGGAAAAGGTAACGTTCACATTTCTTAGGAAAATCAGTTTATGCAGCCTTAAAAGGTATATTAAACATCAAGAACTAAGCAACCATCTTGCTCTCTAGCTCAGTGATGCAACTATGAAGCACTTGATCGTGTGTCTTGATTGCAGGCAAACCGTTCCAAACTCAAGCCGCCTTAAACAGCTGGCCAGAGGGGACCATTGTCCGCAGTGGCACCCTTGAGCAGCTGCTGGTAGCCCAGCATCCCAGCAGGTCCCCCCACTGACAAGTATCCTCCCCACTGTCAAATGTTGCCAGAGCAGCACTGAATAGCTGGGCTTGCCCCAAGGCCGTGTCACTGTCAAGAATGGCAGGGGATTGCGTCCTTGCTCTCTGCCTTTCAGGGGCAGCAATAAGGAGGGAACAAATGAGAGGCCACCTTCCAGACTCACCCCCAACCTGGTGGGGGCCACACAGGATTTCCCGAAAAAGAGGACACATACCCCAGAAAGATGTTGCCTGAATCAATCTGTATGGATGCAGATTTGGAGATAACTGCGGCTCAAAGAGAAATAGTGTGCCTCTTGCCATAGTGTGGAAGACTCTGATCAGGCAGTCGGTGTCCTCTCTCTGCCACCCAAGTTCTGTCACTGGGCAGCTTCAAGACCTCTGCTGCACTGTCCTTCCATGGTTCTTTACCATTATATCAGACTGGGGCCACACTGGCCCCAGGGGACATAAGCACCTGTCCTCTGTTAAAGGGGGGCACCGGGTCATTACAAGATCTGAAATCATTTCTGCAGATGACTGCAGGAGCACCCATGCCCTCCATTAAGAGACACAGCGGAACTGAAAGAAGAAGAGACAGAACCACATTTAGAGGTGTGCCAGTTGAGGATTCTCAGCCACAGGGAAAATTGGATTAAACTTTGTGTGCTGTTCTGGGGAAACACCTCTGAATTCTCTCATTGTCAGTGGTTCTCGAAACAAATCACAGGGCACTCAGTGGAAGGAGATGATTCTGCTCAGACGTTCCTAGATGCATGCATATATGTGTCCATTCATGTATTGTGATGCTTCCATCCTGGTTTTCCTCTATTTGTACAGGGCACGATGTCTAATTAGCCTAGCTTTAGCTAATGGGTGAACAAAGGAAGGAAGGGTCTGCTTGTCATCTGGTCTCACACTGAACCACTCTTTCTATTTGAGGGCTGTCCCAAAAAGGACCTTAGAGGCACATTCCTATGTGAGTTTAGGCAAGAAAAGGGCTTTCCACAATCACCCATGATCCACAGATGGAAACTGCACACAGAGAGCCCGTCTGAATGCCTTGGGAGCGGAGTTTAGGCTTTAGTGAGGGGGATGCTTTAATGACAGAGAAAGGAAGCACGCAAGAGCAGCCCTGTCGCCGGGATCCAATCATAATGGCCCAGCATGCAAGGAGTTAAGTTTGGAAGAGGAAACAGCCTTGCTGCTGTCTGATTATATTGATAGCAGCTGTGGGTATATCTGTCCAGTGCAGAAAAGTCAGTCTCACAGTCTATCCCGCTTCGCTGCTGCCGCACTTTTATCTCTCAGTTTCTGGGAACCATCATGCTGCATCAGACAGCCTTGCTGGCCACCGTGACCATTTTGGGAGTCTTGGAACAAGGTAAGGCACGGCACATGCTCTCACTATAATCGGGCTAAGTCAGATGCCATCTATTTTAGGCAGGATGAAGCCAGGGCTCTTGTGGTGACCAGGACATGGGCACGCTGCCCTTGACTTGGCTAGAGGGGGAAGAAGAGGCACCCGGATGGGGGATACCCTGGTAGTTCTTTGATTTTTAAAGCCCGAGATAAAACTGACTTGTGGCTCTTGGTTTGTGTATCAGAAAATAGTAAAACCTGGATTTTAAAAACTATGCTTACACCTGTGACAACTGAATAAAATGGTTAGCTGATTTTGAATAGCCACTGATAAAGAAATGTAGGGAGAGGATCAAAGCAACTGCACTACAAAGAGGGGATGTTTTACCATGGAATCTCAGCTCAAGCCCTGGAAGATCTGCAGGTCTTCAATGGGGGAGGGCGGGGCTTCGCTCTCACCTGCAGGGTGCAAGCAAAGGGCTGCATAACTGTGGCCATTGGAAGACATGACACAGGAAGTGCCCCTCATACCGCAGCAACATTACATGATAAGGTCTAAGAAAACCACAAAGCTTTCCTTTCCTTTCCTTTCCTTTCCTTTCCTTTCCTTTCCTTTCCTTTCCACTACCCACCTTGCCTCACACGCAGGATGACTGTACAAAACTAGCAATGTAACAAAGAATGAGGTCAACTTGGTAGATGCCACCAACCTGCTCAGGCCTGTGGCATTAGAGAAATACTTAAGACGTCTTTGCAAAAGCTTTAGCTGGGACATAATGATATTGGGAAGGGGTTAAGAGAAATAACAGATTTCTGCATGGACACCTTAGCTAACTCAGTTACATTGATCAGAAGAGTATAACAGGTTTTTTTAAACCAGTGTACTATATCTAAGCATTGGTTCTGGTGCTCTGCTGAGCAGTAATTTAAAAAATTTTCTCATATTGGGATCACAGAACTTCATTGCTTTGCTACTTTTACATGAAAAGTAAAAATGTAGGTTGTAATGTATTTATTTAAAGGTTTTATATACTGTCCAACTACTAGCGTCTTGGGATGATTTTTCACAGAATAGGAGCCCACAATCAGTACACAATCAGCCCACAAAGTCATGCGAGCAGGCTCCCTGTGTTCAAGAGACACTTCCCTTGCCCCGGAAGGTTACCTAACCTGCCTTGAGTTAAAAAAGTAAAAGCTGCAGAAAATCGCGTGCACACGTGTGTGTGCCCTTTCTGTGCTGCAGTTTAAAAATGGAAGACTCAGCCTTGCACTGTTGACCTCACAGCAAACATCCTGATGCAACTTAAATATTTATGAAACACCATCTGGACTGTTGAACAGTGGGCTTGAAATGATAACTGGAGGGGAGAAAAGGTTGACCATAACATGGGGGTCCAAGGAAGACTTCGTAAGGACTGGGGGAAAAGTGGAGTTGTGAAGTGATCCCAATATGCACCAGAAGTTAGAGGGAAGATAGGAATGGGCGAGAGAACCTGAGGGACTGGAGCGGGGTCTCCAGATGCTGCTGGACCGCAGCTTCTATCAGCCCTACTCAGCATAGCCAATGGTAAGGGATGAGGTGAACTCAAACCAACATCTGGAGGAGGACCGCAGGTCACCCACTCATGCTATGGGGGGAAATGGACTTCAAGAAATAAAAGGTTGGGAGATCTCGGGGTAAAGTAGATCATTCAAAATATCTCTGAGTGATTTTCAGGAGATAAGCAAGGATCTCTGGGGAGGCATCAATGTCCTCAGAGGAATTCACACTTCACAGAAGTTAAATTGGTTTGATGTGGGAATAGAGTAGAGTAATCTGGAAGAGGATATGACTGGCTGACAAGTAATAAGGAACACGCCGTACTGCACCCTTTGTTGCAGATCTTCCTTTCATTGACCTAACTGGATTCACTCTCATCATTTTATGATCAACTACAATGCTAAACTCAAGATTATAATAAGAAAATTGGTGCAATGAAGTGAAGTTGTGTCTCAGTTACTTAATTTTCTTTTCACTTTCACTGATCTGAGGTCACAATTCAAAGAATGTTCCTTCCCCTTCTTACCAGACTTGGCCATTCAAAAAGTAATCTGCTGAAAGCACCAGATTTAGTAATGAAATGAAAGATATTCTGGGCCAGTACCCACATCATAGAGGAAAACTATGAGTTGTTTGTGATTCATAATTTACTTCTGCTTTTTGTAAACCATCTCCAGTCAACACATCTCAAGGATTCCAGTGTGTCATCTGTGTCTGGACCATGCGGTGGTTAGGGGCTGAACAACCAGCAGTTAACTGGACCAAGCAAAGAAAATAAAACATGGGTTAACTGCTGGTAGTTTAACTGCTTTAATAAGCCAGCAGTCCAGACTCAGATGTCATGCTCACAACTCCCAATTGTATCAATCAAATATTGTTTACAAAAACAGGAAACAGCTCACATTTGGCACATGTCCCTGCAAACCATGGATTAAATAACCCACAATTTGCTGCCATAATATGCCGATCAGGTCAATGACTTATCCCTTTTTAGCATCTCTGGGGGTTGTATCTTAACTTTTTAGCTCTTCATTATCATTATTTTCTGAAAATTGGAATTGGGCATGGCCATAGGAGTGAATCAGTTGGATACAGTTGAAACTAATTTTTAAGCCTGAAAAGCCAGCATGTTCTAGTTACCTGGACTGGAAAGGAAAATGTGCAGACGGATTCAACTGCAAATTCAGAATTTAGCAGTGGTGTGGGTGGCTTTAACAGCAACCTCCATCCCCAGCTGGTTCTGTCCAGTTGTGTTGGGCTATAACTCAGCATCTCCTAGCCAGCATTTCCTAGCCTACTAGCCCCTTGGCTAGCTTAGGAAGGCTGGCTGGAGAGCTCCAGCTTTTCATGTCAAATCAATTCCTCCCTCACTTTGTCCCATTCTGATTATCCTGACCATTGTTCCTCCTTCCACAGTTCTTGTTGAATAACTTGGCGGAAAAATATAGTATGTGAAAAAGCCATCAAAGCAAAGCTGCACAGACAAAACAAAGATGACAAACTAAAAGCTCCTTTTACAGAATATAGTGTGTTCTGGTTCATAAACTTGGAACTTTTCAGGCTCTTAAAAACAAAGGAGGCCTGCTGCAAAGGAGGCCTCAGACCAGAGGCCTGTCTAATCCAGTGCTTCATTCACACATTAGCAAACAAGCTGCCCTGGGGAAGCCTGCAAGCAGCGCACAGGTGCCACAGGTGCACGGGGCATCTTGCCTCTGGTTCTGGAAGTAGCATAGAGCCATCAGGACCAGGGGCCATTGCGATTCCTCCAGGAATTTCTCCAACCCCCTTTTCAAGGTGTCCAAACTGGTGGCCTTCCCTGCATCTTGTGGCAGTGAATAGTCTAATGTGACTTGCTGTTGAGAAGAGGATGAGGACAGGCTGGGGAGAATAAAGGTCAACTAGTTTGCAAGCGATCACTCCGAGATAAATGCTGCCTTCCTTTACTGTGTTTGCATGTGAAATATGAGTGCTGATTGCTGATGCAGGTGAGCAAGTTATGAATACATTTGTTATGCATTGTTTGTGCCTCATCTCCCAGGTATACTAAAAGGTTTCTTTTCTTCCCCCACGCCTCCCTTTCTGTCCAGCATATTTTGCCATGCAAGTGATCTATGCTAGGCGGAAGTGCAAAGTTTCTCCCCCTATAACTTCAGGTCCACCAGAATTTGAAAGGATCTTCAGAGCTCAGTAAGTCAGCTTTCCTGGAGGTTGGTTTGGGGTGGTGGGGTTGACGTGATATCCCAAACACTTGTGGAATAAGCTTCCACTGAGATAAAAAGGTTAACTCTAAGTACATGTGTTGGTACGATCAGGGTGATAACTGGCACAGACATGCAGAGGGATTTAGCCTCGGTGCTCAGCCCCTGCAGTGGGTTTTACAGACTGAAACGCCTTTCCATCCCTGCATTAGAGAAATTAATAGGCAAGTCTTTCAGGAGATACTCTTCAGCAAACGTTGGAACAGGCAGGCATCTCTAAAGTGCCATCCCTGTTGACCTTGATGAAGTACCTTCTTTTCAGACTTTGTCCCACCTCCTATACCCACATGTGGGTACAGAACCTGTATATATACTTCCTGGTTTCATGGCTGTGTGAGCTGGCTAAAATGACCCTTGATCCAAGGCCAGACCTTCCATATATGCAGGTTCATGAAAGGCATTTTGGCAAGTATGCTGCCAAATTCTGAGCATGGGGTAAATTTGTTGTGTGGAGTAACTGGGAGGTGTTGCTAAGTGAACACCACTGATCACTGGAAAGCTCCCTCAGCCTCGGAGGCACCTTCTCTGGTTTCTAACCACCAGTTCAGCCAGGTTGTGAAAATTGCAGCTAGAATGTTTTGCAGCTTTGTAAAGAAACTGCAGCAACCACTATTCAGCTGGTGAAAACATTCTTGCTCTCCTCTTCCCCTTACTTTTCATGATTTTCAGGAGGGAAAGTTACACATTTTGTAAGAGTACTAAAACACCTCTCGGGGTACTAAGTTGTGCCTTTCTTTTGGAGATACTAATGTGTACAATGGACTCTCAATGCCAACTATACTATCTCACGTCAACATGGAACGTAATTTGCCTGGTGCTGGAGCAGCTTCACATGAAAACGCACGTGCGCTCTATTAGAGAGAATGCGGCCCTTTCCTTTTCTGCACTGACTGCTAATTGCAATCCATACATTACACTGTCAGCTCTTCTCTTTTCTAAATAATCCCTTGGGAGGCATGATTTGCACTGGAGAAAGGACAGGAGGAAAGGCAGTACTTACTCTTCCTGCTGCTGGCTTTCCCCTGAATGGTCCTCCCTCCTAGTTGCTTTTTCCCATAAAGTTTCCAGTCCTGTGTCTGAAGTTAAGACAGCTGCACGTGGAAACTGCTGCAGAAAAGGGGTTCAGAGGACAGGCCAAGAGGGGGCCAAGGTAAGAAGAAGCCTTCCCTTCTCTTCCCCAGTGCAAATTGGTCTCTTCTGAGGAAGTTGTACAAGAGGGAACGCGTCTCTTGAGATTAAATGTAATCTCAATAGAACAGGTAATTTATCCCTCAGTTTAAGATGGGAATGAGCAGCACACCCCACCTTAGAACCTATTCTATCTACATATTTGCAAATAGAAACTATCTTTATTGTCCTTAAAATGAGCCGGACTGAAACTTACCCAGCTGTAGTCTGTTACAGTTACTTTACTGTAATTACTTCATCCTAAGAGAGCTTCTCCAACTATTGCCAGAGTGGGCTACTGCAGCCTCCCTCCCACTGGGGTGGGACCCTGTTTCAAAACGAGAGCCAAATGCGGTGCTCCGGCCGCTCTGGGCTCCTGTGTGCTGTTGCTGGGCAGAGCTGAGGGCAAAGAGATGGGACCGGGACGAGGAGCACTTTTCGGCTTAGAGTTCTTTGTGCCAGTAATGAAGCCTTAGCTGAGGCATTGCAGCCTTTTAGGAGGTGGTGGGGGGGGGGGGGTGGCACAACAATTGGGAAATCCCTACATAAGCAGAAGTTGGGGAGAAAGGAAAGCCCAATCCAGAGGGCTGGATGGGGACCCAGCCTTGCAGGCCTTCAGGGTCTCGCCCTTGCCTTGGGTGGCATCCGGGATGACCTGTGACCAGACGCTGCACTTGCTTCACACTGGTTGCCTGTCCATCAGCTGAGCCGTGTGATAGATAATCCGTGTGTTTCTGGACCTCGGCCTTCGCATCTTTATACTGGCCCCGTGAGACGACTCCTCATTGCCCAGATCCCACGGTCATTGTGGCGCTGCTCAAGGCACAGCTCATGCGAGGCATGCTTCACCTACCTGGGGGCCATTTGTCCTGCCATCTGAACCCGAGTACAAAACATCCCTCCAATGCTCCATACCCTGCTGTTGGGTTATTTGAGGGTTATTCCCCCTGTTGGGTTATTTGAGGGTTATTCCCCCTGTTGGGTTATTTGAGGGTTATTCCCCCTTAAACAAGCCATATCACTTGGGTTTAAATGACAGGGCAAGTTGCACCTCGGTGATGAATTAGACAAATGGCACGAGGCTAAAGTAATTGCTTAAAGAAGCCTCGCAGCAGTGCGGCCTGAATCCCGTGGCTCGGAGGCAGGGCATTGTGCTCCTGTGCTCGTCCGTCATGCTACGTCTGGCCATGAAATAAACTCTTAGGTAGGTTTTCTGGAGGAACAATTTTCAGGGTCTAGCTAGGCCCCCATGTGATATTGGAGATGAATTTCCACCTGAAATTAGTGGTGTCATTTTAAAAATATGCGAATGAATTATTGTTCCCCTGAACAGTCAATTAACAATGTTCTCCTTGCTTCTGTTTAGAGCAAATTGCTCCGAGTACTTTCCAATATTTATCTCCCTCTTGTGGGTGGCTGGAGTCTTTTCCCATCAAGGTAAAAAGCAAATTTTCTTCAGCTGCAAAGTCATAATTATCACCTTGATAATACTTTAGTTCTCTGGTTATAGTTCCATGCTTATGTGATCTTAGTACATTTGTTTGTTTATTTTTAAGGTGTTGGAACCTTATTTGTCTCTTCTGCTGTTGGCGGCCACCGAATCGCAGAGCAGTGGAGTTGACAGGGCCAGCAAGGCCGTCTGGCCAGCCCCCGGCTCCGTGCAGGCAGGGGGTTTGGTTAGGCGTCCATCCTGTCCCTGTGGGTGGCTTTGGGCTTTAAGAGTCCGACGTGACCGATGCAGCTCTGTGTCCCTCAGAGTGTTTCCACATGGGTGGCATACCTGCGCCTGGCACGGGTGTTCCCCCACTGGGGCAGCCTGGTCCAGCCAGGGATCCAGGTGTGTGGGCTAGGGTCGTGTTTGCCACCTTTCACTCGAGTGCTGCAGGAAGCCCTGGTCTTTCTGCAGTAGCTGAGCTGCATCAGGGTGAGGCCACATCATGCTCCTCCACTCTCAGGTTTGTTTTCAAGTTCGCACCCACTTAAACTGAGGATGACAGGACTCTGCGGCTCACTCCTTGAAAATGTTTTGTGCAGCACAAGAAAGAAGCTGGGATCCATCCGTGCTGCTAGGATGTTTCCCTTGCTCCACAAAGTCTCAACAACTGTAGTTGCATGATAATGTCAGAAAAATGGCTCCCAGCATGTGGTGGCTAGCCATGTGCTAAGGTTTTTCTTGTCACGAAAAGACAGAGGGCATCTTAAGGCATTTTCAAAGATGTGAAGCTTTAATGTGGCATAAGATTGAATGGACAAGAACCCACTTACTGATCAGGGTGTCTGCAAGCCACACCTGTGTGGAAAGTGGCTGTTTGTTTGCACCAATCAGGAGGAGCAAAGCTGGGGGCCCTGAGCATCCGTGTCTCCAGGGCCTCCTGCCCAGCTTTGCATGCCATTTCTCAATGGGAGAATAGCCGTGCAGGCACAGTGGTGCTTTTTATGTGGGAAGCCGGCACTGGTTCTCGCATATCTAAAAGGTTTCAATTGAGAGTGTTTTCCTTTGTTTGAAGCATTTTTAATGGAGACGTTTGGTATTGAAATGATTTTCCTGTGGAAATGTTCTGTTTTAAAGTTCCATCACTTTCAAACACTTTCAAGAGGCCTAAAAAGATACAGTAAAGTCAGTCTTATAAATGAATCACAAATGCAGTCCTATGCATGCGAGTTCCAGTCATTGCCTACATGTGCATCAAATGGTGCCCTAAACCAGTAAGTCATATGTTGCTGAAATGTTTAGGGGTGGAAAATGGGCTTTCTCTATGGTGTTGTAGCCCAGTAGTTCACAGTATCCCCTATCAGTGATAACCTCCACTTAAAAGCCCAAAAGGACAAATTTATTTTACGGTGTAACTCATTCCAGGTTCGTCTCCTATTTTTTAAATTGTTTTTGAAGTAAATTCTGTATTTTACAGGCTTTCCACATTAATCATGTTTATTGTTATCTTCTCTGGCAGTTTTGGCAGCGTTCAGTGGATTAGTCTACCTGTATGCTCGCTATCGGTATTTTAGAGGCTACACACGTTGTGCTAAAGAAAGGTGAGTTGCCCTGAGCATGAGGCTCTGCCAAGTCGCTCGTCCGCTTCCTGCCTCCCTCCAACATCCAAGCACCGGCTCTCGGCTGCCCCACTGAATGCCGTCCCAGGCAAGACCCGTTCCCTGCACAGGAGAACCGGCCTGTCCATCTCCAGGTGGGTCCAGGCAAGACCCCTGGAGACCAGCTGCTGCCAGCCAGTGTTGGCAATACAGAGGGACCAATAGTGTGATGACATAAGGCAGCTTCCTGTGTCCTTCGGCATGACCTTGTGCTTCCACATGTCGGCTAAGAAGGCGTATCAAGGCATGCTTTGTTTGGAGTTGGTGGTTCTGCAGTGCTGAGTAGGGGATTGGCTTGCTTGCATTTTGGGGAGTTCTTGCTAGGGAGAGGAGGAACAGAGTGGAAGCTGCGCGGGGGCCGGAATTTCCCAGGGGGCTCTCAGTACTGAGTCCAACACCGTCCCTCCCAACTCTGCAGGAATTCTGTGTGCTGCACATACATTTATTAATTAAATTTCTACTTAGTTTTGTCATCAAAGAGGCTCATGACATATTCAAATCATAACAATATACCTGGTTTAATTAATATTGCTGAAGTGGGGGGGGGAGGTAGGTAGTAGAAAACAACACAAATTTCTCCTATTCATGTTTAGACCATGTTTGAAATTGCTTAGAAAGGTGCAACTAACAGTAGTTTGTTTGGATAGAAGGTTTTGTTTTTTAATTCCTCTGTTTTGGTGTGTATCTGTGGAAAGAAATGTTTTGACTTTCAGGTCTCAGCCCTTTATTAAACTAATGGAGCGGTCTTACATATGAAATATTAGTTTCATAGACTTTAGTTGGACTTGTTTTCAGATTGGTTTGCATAGGATTGATGCTAATTCCAAAACCAACACTGTTCTTTCTCTCCCCAGCAAGAAATGCAAGGTTTAGTATAATGATGAGTCTCTACATCTTGGGAAGAAGTATTTTCTTTTAATTGAAACCCTTCTAATGTGGGCATTATTTTGAGAGCCGGGGGCAGAGCATTGGCCCGGGACACCGAAATCCTCGACTGTAGTCTCCACTAAGTCATGAAGCTCACTGGATGTCCTTGGGCCAGTCCCTGATTCTCAGCCTAGCCTGCCTCACAGGGTTGTTGTAAAGATAAAATGCAGAGGAGGAGGACTACGTAAGCAGCTTTGGGTTCTTGCAAGAATGGGAGAAAGCGGAAAATAGGTATAGTAAAATTACTTTGCACAGAAGTTTTCAGAGCAGCGCTTGATGGTGTTGCTTCTGCTGTGTAACAACGGCAGGCAGGGCTGAGTTAGCCAATTCAAGGCACAATCCCATCGTCTCCTGAAACCATCTGGGGGCGCCACAGGATTCTCTGCAGTCCCGGCATGCTGAGACTTTAGCAGCTGAGACTTGCCTGCCTATTTGCAGCCCCTGTTATTTCCTCAGTGGCTAAAAGCCTCTCTGCAAAGTCAAAGAAGCTGCGTGCCCTGCTCTCCCAAGCCATTCACACTTCTTATGGACTGGCTTGGCTAGACTTTTCTGGCCTTGCTGTACTTTCCAAAAATCGCTCCCCTTCCTGTAACTACCATATGATAGCTCCTAGCACAAATGAGTGGTCACAGATAATGCCTATTTATCACAGACTGAAGTCTGAAATTAGTATCACACCTAGCCATCAGCACCGATACCCACTAATCTGTTTCCTTCCTTCCTTTTGGCAGACTGGGCCCCATGTACTTTAGTGCTGGAGTTCTCTGCTTTCTTATTGGTTTGTCTGTGTTCGGGCTCAGTGTCCATTTTGCCCATCACTGGACACACGGGCATGAGCTTCTGCATTAGCCACCGATGGACCCCTGCTGCTAAAACACCATGGCTATTGCATCCCAGGTTTCAATGTCCGAGTTGTTTTAAGTGAACTGAAGAAATCCTGTGTTGAGCATCTTGTCTGATGGATGTTAATTTTGCCATGGCTTCCACTTGAAAAGCCACTGGCTCAGTGCCTAGTGACAGTGCAAAGGCTGACAGCCAGCGTGTGACCCTTCAGTTCTCTCTCCGTGGCCTGTGCTGCGTAGGGCAGGCAGAAGTTGGCTAAAACACCTGGAAGGCCACAAGCTGTCCAGCCACTGTATTAGAGTAACAGACTATTGTTATGAGACAGAAGGTCACTATGCAACTTCCTGTTTTGCATGGAACTAACATGCCCTCTAGTGCTGGGGAAGAGGGGCACCTTGGATGGGAAGACTTCTGGGGTCCACCTGCTTCTGGCCAGCATCACTACCCCATTTGCTTTGCTTCTCCACATCATGGCCCAGGGCAGGCGAAGGAATGGAGTGTCCCCATTCCTTGCTCTTGCCCCATTTTCCTGGAGGAAGAGGTCGCTATAGGGAAGAGCAGCAGACAGCCGTGGGTCTTGGTAGCTGTCCAGTGACCACTCCTCGATGTTTCTTTGGATCATTCCTACCTTTGAAAACCGAAGCTGGACCTCCAAAGGGTGCCTACCTCAACCTAGAGTTGTACATTTGTATTTAATCTCTAGTTTATCTTCTCTAATCCATTCGCCCGCTCTCTATCCTGCTGCATACACAAAATCCTTTAGAGATATATTTCAATTTCTTTTCCTTTGCTTCAGCTTTTAAAATACTTGAAACCGCTGTGCAACATTGGCCCATCTAGCTTTGCATTCTTCACTGTGATTACCAGCAACTCTGGTCTGGAGCTGGTCTTTCACCATAATAAAGTTTTTATCTCTCTATCTTACTAGCAACTCTTCAGGTCAGAGGGGTAGGGGACACTTTTTCAGCCTGGCCACCTGAGGCTCCTTTAAGTAGCAAAACAAGGAATTAAACCACATTGGACTATTGTAATGCACTTTATGTGGGGCTGCCCTTGAAGACAGTCCGGAGACTTTAGTTGGTCCAAAAGGGAGCAGCCAGCTTTTGTTGGGGACCAGTAGATGTGCTCATGTAGCACCAGTCCTGCCCTGTTACCAATTGAGGCTGGGCCCAATTTAAGGTGGCAGTGATGATGTACAAAGCCCTAGAGCCTGGGTAGCTGAAGGAGTGTCTCCTTCCATACACCCCTGCCCGCCCCCTAAGATCCTTGCCTGATGTCCTTTGGAAGCCCCCTTGGAAGGAGATTGGAAGAGTGGCTACCCTGAGAAGCGGCTTTTCTACTGTGGTGCCCCGGTTCTTGAACCTACTCCCCAGAGGGGTGTACTTTGTGTTGACACCTTATTTATTTCAGTAGCAAGCCAAAACCATTTTATTCTTTCTGTATTTTCAGGATTAACTGTAGGTTTTAATATTGGTTTTATTAGACATTTATATTTTATTTTTGTGTGTTGCCACTGTACTGTATTGTATCATTATTCTGAAACTTTTGTATAGGATGGGATGGAAATGTCCCAAATAAATTAAAGAAGGCTTTCGGCTTCTTGCAGTTTGTTCTCTCTCTGTATCTGTCTTCCTCCTCCCATTTTGTACCTCTCCAGGGCAGACCTAAATCCAGCGGGGCCAGTTCAGCACCTTTTTGGGCAGCTGCTGTGTTTGCACATTACTGGTTGTGGTGCTGCCCCCTGAGCTGCCCCGCAGGTGGCCCTGCTCTGCAGCACACTTCCCCGTGCCATCCAAGGACAGCTGGAAAAATATTTGTATCATTTCAGAGTAGTATTTGTGCATCTTTCAGTAGCCAGAAAATGCAAGCGCATGCAGGATAACTGCCGTAGTAACTGTATCACAGGGACACGAAGTTTTGCTGTAACGGGGCGATGCCCTTGGAGCATTATAGTATTTTAATTAATCAATTTCCATACTGCCTGACAGCTGAAGTACCAGTGCATTCATAATCGTCAATTTGAGTGTAGACGTGTCTTACAGCTAGAGAGTGACAGAGATTGATTAGGGAGCTTTCCATGTTTTGTTCTTGCTATGGTCCAAGGTAATGTCTGCAGGGCCACCCACACACAAGTTGGAGACGCAGGATTCTTGGAGTCTCAGTTCTGAGATCCTGCCAGAAACACCCTAAAGGCCAAGCCCCCGGCTCCTGCTTCCAGCCAACTAGAACAAACTGAATGGCGCCCCCCCCCCCCACAAGGGTACAAGTGGACCGCGGGGAGGGCAAAAGGGGAAGAGGCTTGAATCACAGGCTCCCGCGCCTCCCTCTTGGCACCCCAGCCGCTGGCCTCCTGCTCCCAAGCACTTTATCCAGGTGGCCGAGAGTGGCTGTCCAGGCAAAATGCAGGGTGGGGGGGGCAGTGGGGGAGGCCGTGGCTGCCGCTGCCACCCCTCGTTCCTGCCACTGTATGCAGGCAAACCTCTGAGCTGGGAGGCTTTCTGGCATCTGCCGCTGGGGCTGATGCGCTTGCACCTTCCGCTTGCTTTTGGAAGTTGCAATTCTCGAGAGACACTGGCTGCCTTGTAAAAGGAACTGTTTTTGAAATAGTCTTTGTATTGTAAATTCACTTGCTAAAGCTTTAAAAAGCTGTGACACCACTTACTGGCTACAGCTGGTTTTATAAGTTACTGTTGCAATGACTTTGCATTAAACCATTAGGAAATGAAACAAAGGAGCATATACAAATAATCTGACAAGGTTTAGCACCGCTCCCAGTGAGAGCGAAAGAGGCGGAAGCTTTGTTGAGTCAGGTTTCTTGGCCACAGGAACACACACCTGGTTCCAGCACCCTGAAAAGTTTGCCGCTCCAAGCCCGCTTGCAGAAGAGGAGCCAGAAGGGCTGAAAGGTCCATGACATGCCAACTCCGCAAGCAGGCTAACGTCCAGAACGAAGTTCTGAGTTTTCACACAGTTGCTGGGGGTGTCCTGTTTTCTGCTCTCTCAGATAGGCAAGCTTGACTGAGTCACACGCACCTGGAACATCCGCCTGTATATGAGCTGGTCCAAAGAAGCCCTCCCTACATCGGCACAGGTGAAAGGTGACTTCTTCCCAACCAGTAAGATGTCTCTGCCAAAGTAGCCAAGTTTGATTTGCAGTTTTTTTCCCCCCCTCATGAGGCCTAAGAAAGATGAAGGTGACTTGCAAGATGGCTCTCAAGTCAGGGCAGAGCACCTATAATTTTACAGTGGGCGTCTTTAGCGAAAGCATCTTTGCTGAGAGCAGAATGCCTAACATGAACGGCTGAATGCCCAGGGCACCAGCCAACCCCCACATGCAAAAGAAGTGGCTGTAGGTGTTAATTTAAATAGCAAGCTTCCCCATTGCAAAATCTTTCCTGGCTGTGCAGGCGGCTGGTCACTCACATGGTTCCAATATGCCTGCAAAGTGTTTTGGGTGGCTGGGTGGTCAGACTTTCTTGCCTTATAAAAAGCAAACAGAACAAAGCATGCTACTTGAAGTGGAATTAAAATTTTACAGTGCACATTTTAATATATATAGATTTTATATAGATATACTTGAAAAAATCAAATGTATCCAAGAATAAAAAATACAGCACATTAAAGTAGTATAATGCATTCCAGTGTATAACTAGAGACATTGGGGTTTTCTTTTTAAATTACACTCTAATCCCTACCATTTGAGAACTGGCCTACATGTTTTTATTATTATTTCAAAATTCACATCAACCAGTAAGTTACAGATATGGATTTAAAAGGATGGACTCTGCACGCCTCTCAAGGCATGGCGACCCTGGAGGCTTCGACGAGAGCTGTATTCTAGGGAGGGAGGGCGGCCTGTCCCGCCCCGGCAGGCACAGTGCGGTGTCGCTTCCCTGCCCTCCTGGCCCCTCCATGCACCGCCCCTTTCCTCCCTACGCCAGGCCTGCCGCCCGCTGTGCCTCATCCCCCAGCGGCTCTGGAGCGACTGCTTTGCTCACAAAAGGGGCTTTTACCCCATCGCACCACAGTGCTTCTCCACAGCTTCAGGGAGCTAGATAGCCACCGTTCTCTCCTGCTTAGCCTTCACGCTCATTAAACCCGTATTTCTAAATGCACCCTTTCATGATACATTCAGGCATCAGCACCCAGGGGCAGGGGCATGAAGAGGTGTGGGAAGCGTGGTCCTTGCTCAAAGAAACAAAAAGACCCAAAACAATCCTTTACGTGGAAAGTTCATCTCCATGGTTCTCTCTCTCTGCAGCTACAAAGGCAGCTGGATTCAAGATCGGTCAGCAGTGGTGCTTCTTCTCTTAGTTCAGTCCAGCACCCATGCATGACAAGTACTTTTCTTCTCCTAAAATAGGTGTGGTCAGGAAACACCAAGGCCCAGCCAAGTTTCACCGCCAGCTTTTTCTTCCTGTTCTTGGAGCAGCAGGTGCCCTTTAAAGCACACCTCTCTTGGTAAGAGGACTGCTCCCATGCTGCCACGTCTGCAGTTTCATGGAAGAGAGGAAGAAGAGGGGAAGAGCTAACGGCCATGTAGTGCATCACTCTCTCAGCCTTAAAGTTCAGTCAGCTTTCTTCAGGAATATCTGGAAGCACATGCATTTAAACATATCCATCAGCACTGGGCAAATTTCCTTTTCCTGTTTGTGCTATCGAACCACTCACTCCTCCTCAAACTGCAGGGGGAAGGGCTTGGATTTTCGGTGAAACCGCACCGCAAGCAACCACTCGGCAGAACCTCTGCATGTGGCAGGAAAGGATTTCACTGTTGCACATAAAGAGTGCACTGTGTTGACAAAAGCCCAAAATAGATACCAAGGCTGCGCAGAACATCTTGCTACAAAGCTTCCTTTTTATAAAACTCCAGCAACACCCCACACAAACTCATGCAGCCTCTCCAGAAATACCACTTCTGACCATCCAAAGTGGGCTGTAGCTTCTAAGAGGATGAAGTAAGCAATGGTACGTTCTGCCTCTTGGCTCAGTGACCTTTCTAGTGTGTGCCCGTTTAAGAAAAATGAAAAATAGAAGTGGTCCTGTGACAGAGGCTGCCAGAAACCTACCTGTGGCTAGCCTGGGTCAATTATTCTATTGCCCAGATTTATTTCTGAAGGCAGGACTGTGTTGAGCAGGGGCTGAACCCTCAGGGCTCACCATCACGGATGCCTGCGTTGGGCCACTGGGCAGCTTGGCACAGCAGCCAGGTGCTGCTTTTAAATGTCCCACTTGACCCCAGAGCAACACCACTTCAAGAGCTTAAATGCTGTCAGCTGGAGAGGTTACTGGCCTCTAGTGGGTGCCTCGTGAAGGGCCCTGTCAGACCTGGAGCCAGCCCTGATTGCACAGAGAGTCTTTCTAAAGCATCCCAATGACTAATCCTTTTAAAAAACATTTCAGCCTAGAAGGAGGCACTACTTCCCGGTTCCCATTCCCTGTCGGGATGAGGCTGGGAAATCTCTACAGGCTGCCATGTCTGAGCAGATTAATGGAAAGACGCTGCGGCAATGAACACACAAGCATCTCCTCCGAAAAAGCCCATTACCTCACTCAAGATGATCCATACAGGAGAGTCCGTCTGGATGGTCAGTCGTATTGCTTCCAGGGGCCCAAAGGAAGGGTCCACTTCTCCTTCAGCAATGCCCTTCGAGAAGGAGCCTGCAGGAGGACAGGAAAGACAACTGCAGGAAAGCTCTCGGTGACAGCAGCACCACTGCACTCAGGTGCCACCCTGATGAAGGGGGCCGTGCCCAAGGACCACTTAAGGGCAAGCATCAGCCCTCAGAGGAGCAGCACAGGCTCCGGGACCTTTGCTCTCGAGCATGTGGCTCCACAGGGTGCAGTTCATCAGCCACTTGGTCCCTAAGCCATCCTCTCCTCCCTCTCAGGAGACATCAACATCTGGAGCTGCCTAGAGCTGGAATCCTTCAGTTTAGATTTCATAGGACCGCCTGTAAGGGGGGGGGGGGTGTTCATCTTTTAAATTGCCAAACAACACTCCATAAGGCGGCCAACTGCATCTAAGCCTGTTAAAGTAAACAACACCTTGCATGAAGACACCCAACCAGATTTTCGAGTGATGAGTATGTTGCATCATTAGAGTGGCCTCGCAGTAGGTTACCTACCTGTAGGTTTGCTTGCTGTCATCGCCCTAACTAGGGCTGGCAAGGCTGGCATAGTAAAGTTAGCAAGCGGCAGCCATGTGGGATCTATAAATACACGCCGCGTTCCCCCGTGATAGCCTGTCACACACTGCCAGTGCCCTGCTGCTGGCTCAGCACAGATGTTTAGACTAGGGGCCACCCAGTGGGCTCAGCTCCCCTGTGCCGTTCCACCCTCTGACTCAGTCATACCGGCCTCTTCTTTTCCAGCAGCTACTAAACACAAAGTAGAAAGAATGACTTTGCAAATGAATTATGCCCTGTCACCCCCGCAGCTCAAGGTTTCTGAAAAGGGAACATGATCTTGCCCAAGAGGAAAGATGTAGCTTTTATTAAAACCTGCAGCGTAAGCACTATCTGGCTGGTCCTGGGAAATATAACCATGATTCCTAGTGCCGTATATCATGAAAAAGCACCAGTCTGCCCCAGTGTTGCTTGCCATGAGATTTCCGGGGAAAGAAAGAACCTGTATGCAACATTCCCCTCCACCCAGACCATGATGGCATCAGAACTGCGGCTGCACCAAGACCTCGGTGAGAAGTAATGGGAGGTTATGGGCAGCAAAGGCTGTGCAAATTTATCACCCATCCCCATCCTGAACTCCAAAGCTGTTGCGTGTGTGTTTTTGCAAAGCCTCAGGTGCCCAGTAGGTGGCGCTGTTTCATCATATATAACACTCAGGGCTAACTCATTCCCACTGTGGTCCTTGTGTAGAGGCATCCTAGCACAAGGGGGACGGGCTGCAGGCCAAGAACCCCTCCATATTTTCTGATGTACAACCACATTCCAGAAAAATATAAGTGGTGACCTCCAAAATGGCCCAATCAGACTCCTTGGGCACAGAAGGTTGGCTGATCGTTGGAAGAATGCATATGAAAATCCAGAGGGCTGAGGAGCATGCGATGGTGCACTGTAGAAGAAAGCATGGCTGCTTAGCTGGCACACTGAGCAGGCAATATTTAGTTGCAGATCCCACTTTTGAAGGGCACTATTTCATAAGGGTTTTCAGACAACAGCACTGAACAGGAAGCCAAGGCAAGACGTTGGGTGCTGAGCATTCTTACATCATCTCCAAGGCAAAATGTTCCGTAAACAAGAAGAAACAGCATTCTTGCTGTCCCTCAGCAGTTTACATGTGATGCAGGGAAAAATGCAGAGACTGTCTGGGGCTTGGCATCGTGCTACCAAGCCCTTCGAGTAGCTACCAAGGGCAGTAAGTTCCAGTCCCCAGTCAAGCACATGAAAGTGCTTCAGAAGAGCTAGTGCAGCGCCCTCCGAGGCCCTGGTGCTCACCCCTGAAGACTCTCAGGGAGAGGAGCAGGACTGGGACAGATGCGCAGACCCTGAGCAGCAGGCCAGCTGTGGATTCGCCCCACCCTCCTTTGGACAAATGCACACAGACCAAAGCCCTGAAGCCGCCCCTTTTACTTGTTCCAGGAGAATCTGGCTGCCCAGAATGCTGTTTAACTAGCCATTAGAGGAGGCCCAAAGCCTCACCCCACCCTCTCGGCTGGGCCCAGAGCAACGCCTCAATGTTTGTTCCAAGTAGAGTAGAAAGAAGGTGCTGAAGACTACACAGAGACGGCTTGTGGAACCCTCTGGAGGAAAGCGAAGCGAGAGGACATGGAAGTCCGGGCTCCCAGTCCACCAGCAGTGCCTTCCTGCATGTAGGACATGCAACCCAGAGCTGACTTGAGCTACTGATCAGCCACTTGACATCAGAATTAGTGGAGTGGTATACAAGAAATAGCATGCAAATAAAAGAGGCAATAAAAAGACATTATAAAATACCACTCAGAAGTTATGTAGTCATGACTCAGAAACATTTGCCCAAAAAGAAAAGTCTGTATCAAATGCTGAAAACAAAGCAACATGGGCGCAAGTCCAATCTTGGCTGGAAGGGTCTTCCATAGGCAGCACACACTACAGGCCACATGCCGGGGGTTCCTATGCTGATCTTTGACCCATACTGACCCACCAGGACTCTGGGATGCCTCAGGGAGATGGCGTAGCCGAGGGGCTGAGCCTTTGAGATAATCCTGTGCCGCTTTGCCTGACCGTTCCTGCGGACAGGAAGACCCAGCCCGCAACCAGTGGACAACCAGTTCCCCTCAGCTCTTCTTAGAATGTGGAAATGGAGTTGCGTGGCATGGCACCGGAAGCTGCCCAGATAGACCAGCAAGACTGGCCTAACGTTTCTGCCACAGACTAATACAGCACCAATCCTGAAGCCTGTATATGGAGGTAGGTGCCCTGATTTCAGTGGAACTCATGTTTCATATCTGTGTGCTTAAAATCAGAACCTGAGAGAACACGGACATGGTCACCAATGCAAAGGCCAACCCGGATACTGGAAGGCCAACCTAGATGCTCTTCCAATCCCAGGGCTGGCGCTTGTGAAAGTGTGCATGGCCCCAGACCACTCGGGGAGCAAAGCTTTTAGGCATCACATTTTCCCCTGAAATTAAAAATGGAAAGAGGAAAGGGGAAAAAAGACTCCACTGAAATCAGTCAAGGCATTTTACTACTTCTTTTTCACTCCTCGGGATGAAACCGGAACCGGAACAGCAAATGAATTAGTGGAATCCGTAGTCTGAGAGTAAACAGGAGCAGGGTGCTGCCTGGGTCCTTGGCTTTGTCCAGTCCACTGGGCCTCTGCAGTGCTGTCTTCAGCACTTGCCTCTGCGCCACGTTCACAAAGGAAAATCCACCCAAACCGAGCCTCAAAGACAATGCAGCCACAAGCAACTTTTGACCCTTGGGCAACGGCAAGGTGGCAGGAGCGCTCGGCTGAGCAGAAGTGGCTCGCTCAGCTCCCCAGGCCTCCTCTGCCATCACTCTGTGTCATAATAGCGTTGGCTGAAGAGCAACATACCCAGCACATTATCCAAAGCCAGCAGGCTACTGTTTGCCCCGAACCAGCAATTTACCTATCTGTATGTAGCCGTCAGATGTCCTGTGGTACTTGAAAGCTGTTGCTCTTCCCTCCTGCAGGGCTTCCTTATCTGACTGGAGACTCTGTGCAGGGAAACAGACAATCTTTCCAAAAGGCCGGCCACACGGACCTAGACAGCCTGCAGCGAGGACAGCTGGAACCTCTCTAACCATCTCGCTCCAGGCCATTCTTACGTTTGCAGAGGCAGAAGCATACTCTCAAGTGCAGGGCTGCTAGAAGACCATCTCTGTGCTTTTTCAGGACCCATAAAAGACTATTAAACTTTGCCTGGTAAGGATACCATTTCTTGCCACAAGTGGCATATTTTAAGTAGAGAAGGAGCGAGCAGCCTCACTTCTAGGATTTGGCATCTAAACGCAAGAATGTAACGGCACAGACTCCTCTGAAGCCCCCTCAGTAAGCCTTTGACCCCAAACTGATGCTCCTGAAACAACATCCAGCAACACAATAATGAGTATCTGGGTCATAATCTCTGAGCAACATATGCTGCCTTTGCAATTCTAGGGCAAGCAAGCAAGCCCTGTGGAACCATGAAGCTGCCCCGCTTGCCCAGAGCCGAAGGGCCGCATCCTGGCCTCACTTCACGATGGCTATTTGCTTTGGAGTGCCTCGGGACTGGAGCCAACAACTGGCATTCAGGGGCTCAGCGAAAAGCATCTGCTTCGCTTCGCTCTCTCAGCTCTCCGAAAGTTCACCCATAAAAAGGAGGGGGCAGCAGAAAGCAAAAAAGTCTTACATCGAAGGGTAAAACTTCCACTGTTGTGTTGAAGAGTTTGTCTTCGGGGTGTTCAATGTTGCCACTGCGGAAGAAAAACCTGTGGGACAGGAACCAAAAGTGACTGGGAGGATTTGCAAGGGATGCATTAGCACATGAAAGTACCGCAGCAGGAAAGAATTTACCAAAATGTCTGGGGCCCAACAGGTGGCTCTCCCAGCAAGAAAGACCACTTGGAGCGAGACAGCTCTGAGTGCACAAACAACCAATTACAGATGGATTGCTGGATTGCGCTTGCAAATTATGCACCCCACACTGCATTTGAATGAACGTAAGTAAGAAGCACAATTATCCACTCCTGTGGAGAACACAATTTGTTGTTCAGCTACACCAAAATGGAAGATTGAGTTATTGTGCATGCATTCCAATGGTAAGGACAGAATCAAGGAAGGATGAAGACATGGGAGATATTCACATCTCTTAAAAAAAAAAAGGCAAACTCTCACGTGGATGCTCTGGGAAATAAAGTAGACAGATGGATTTCCAGAGAAAAATTTCCCCATAATTCCTGGAGGCAACTTTACAGTTATAAATAATGAGCTAGATCCAGCATAAGCCTCCAATCCACAAGACACCTTTGATGCAGTGAAGGGTCCTGCTAGTGGAATCCAGGAAACAGTTACCTTTGCTGACTCCCTAGGGCTCCCCGTGTCCCCTGCCAAATCTGCCCCTGGAGATTTGCAGAAAACTGGAGGCAGTGACGAGGGGACCTGCAAAACTGGGGGGAAACAGCAAAAACTGCATCCATTCCTTTCCATCACTGTGTGGTTTGAGTCTATCTCTGCTCCCAGAATGTTCCTGCTGACAGAAAGGAAGCTGGATCCAACCCACTGACCACTCAGGAGGAGAAAGGCTACACCTCCCAGGCCAGGATCAGAAGCCAGGTGCCACAAATGAGAGGCAGCCAGGCCCAGTGAAAAGCAAAAACTCCTTTATCTGCAGCAATATATATCACTAAAAGCTTGGATCCAGGCACAGTTATACTTTGTGCAGGCTCTCTGGAATCAGACGCAGTTAGGATACTCATGACTAACTTGTCCAGATTATGTCAATGTGTCTGACTAAATATGGATCCAGCCCAAAGAGAACGGTCCCCTTTCTGATAGCTCCAAAGCATCCGTTCAACTTGCAAATAAGGGGAAAGTCCACAGAAAGGCTGTTGGACTCGAAGGAGAGGAAGACATAAAAGATGCAGCGGCAGCAGGTGGCTGGCCAGCATCCAGGCAATGCCAGGGCAGGGGCCCCAGTCGGTGCAGCACTAGGAGCCTTTCGGCCCTGTCCGGCCATTCTTGGCCCATCCCACCTCACAGGCGGGTTGCTCTGAAGATAAAATAAAGAGGAGGACTATGCAAGCTGCCTTGGTTTCCTCAGAGAAGGAACAAGGGGGGGGGGGTGTGAATGCAATGCCACAACAGCAGCAGCAAAGAGAGCAGCACATCTCGTGCACAAGAAGGCAGTGGGGGCTTTCTGCACACGAGTGTCCAGGGGAGCCCTCAGGCTGCCTCTCCCAGCGCAGGGCCATGCCGCCCCTCAGCCTGCAGCCGCGCACTCCTGGGGAGCTGAGCCCTGCCTGTGAGGCGCCTCTCTCTTACAGGGGCCACTGATCAAGGGGGAATGAAGAGTCCCACGCCGAGGGGCCCTGGCCAGTCTGGCTGCCCCCCTTTGAGCTCGAAGAGCCGGTGCATGTGGTGCCTCTGGCAAAAGCAGCCTCTCTCATGTTCCAGGATCTGGGAGGGCAGGTCTTGCCTGGCATCATCTCTTCTGGATATGCTGACTGCTCTCCTGCACATTTTTTAGAAGGTGGAGGAGCCTCTTCCAAGGTGGCCATGAGGCCCATAAGGCAGGGAAATCCAGACAAGGCCAGCATCCCTGGAAGTGCTCGAATCGCGGCTGCAGACTGCACTCAGGAGCCCAGCAAGGCAGCGAGCGAGGGAGCGAGCGAGGCACAACCAGCATCACAAATGAGCTCTGTTCTGGCTCGGGAGTGGCGAAAAATGACTTTTAGGGCTTGACTGGGCGCTCCCCATCCGCTGCTCCCACACTTACTTACCGTTCAATGCGGAGTGGCTTAAAGAAGCGGAAGCGAATGAAGTCACCTGCTGTGGGAGTAAATGCCCAAAAGAAATCTTCCCGCAGATAGGCTTTCTCCAGAGAGAAGTGTTGGTAGGTTTTCAGACTGGTGCTCACTTCTGCCGGAGGGTTCACGTGCTCTTTGCGAAGAGCCTGCTTCCCAAAATCTTTGTCCTGAATGCATGAGATGAAAGTGAAGCAAATTTAGTTCGATATGTAACTGATCCCAGTTGCACCTTTGTGGGAAATACTCTCATTCTGAGGGCTTGGGGAGGGGGCATGAAGTAAGAGGGTCATGCAGCTTTGCTCCCGGGCCTCGCTCTCCTGAGAGGTGAACCACATCCATTGACAACGCTGCCACCCAGCCTGCCAGGCCGGCACAGCCTCGCTTCATCTTCGGCTCCTTTGGCTCCAGATGTTACTCAAACCACATGTGCATCAGGGCTCTTTTCTCTTAAAAGGCCCCAGCAGAAGTGCTAAAAGACACCTGCCTCCTTGCGTGGTGGCCTTTTCATCTCTACCGTTTACCTCCAGAGAGAAGCGAGACCAGTTCTTCTGATGCAAGGTGCAGCTTGGCCTTTAGAAGCCCTGAAGATGTAAAGAATGCTAAAACTTTCCTTTGGAGGCTAGCTTTCCACTGCCAAGGGGAAGCAGGTCTGAGTCATTTCTAGTATTTAGTTTTATGGGGTGGGGAGTGCATGTATACTTCATTGTCATTATAATGGATGCGGCTTGCCCTTTGCCCTTCAGAAATGCAGGCTTGAAACAAAACTAAAAGCAGTCATTGAACTGCTGAGCCCACTCCACTAAACAACAAGAGGGAGGGAGGGAGGGAGGGAAGGTAGCTCAACAGTTTTCGGATGTTAAAAAAAAGAAAAGCAGCTGAGGAGCCACCCTTGGAATGTTCCTGGTAGAACATCCTCCAATCACAGAAACATCAAAGGGACTGTGATTCTCGCAGTCAAGTCTCTGCGAGAGCAGCTTCCCTTTGCACAGCCTCGCTGTTGGAGGCACACGGCTGCGCTGAGGCTCTTCACGATGCTGCGGCACGTAGCTCGGGAATGCTTCCTGGCCACTATTAATCAGAGTTGATCGCTGCCATGCTCCAATTCCCTTGCCTCCTGACCTGATGCCTCCCCTTTCCTTCCAAACCATTTGCAATTTCTTCCACGCTCCGTTAGCAAAGCATCCACTCCGTCTCCACAGCACAGCCCAGCTGACCTGCCTTCCCCAGGGAATACACCTGCATGCGAAAGCACCTGCTTCCCTTGCCTAAGCCATTCAGGAGCCATTACCTTTTGCATACACATCTGCCACACAGAGGCACACCTCATGCTTGCATGCATGCGCGCATGCACACTGCTTGTCCACAGGCCCCCCACTCCAGTGCAGAGTGTTTTCGGGCTCCTCCACCCAAATCTCAAGCCGAAGCCGGCATTATCCCTGAGGGGTTCAGGAAGGGAGAGCGAAGCACGACTCCCAGTGGCCAGAGCATGAGATTTCAGTACCTTTTACTGCCCCTCTCTTACTAGCAAGCATGCTCCTGCCATTTCCAAGGACTCTACCCTGCCTCCTCCGAGAGCGCAGAACAGCCTGCAGCTCCCAGGCAGCCTCCCCTCCATTCACAGGGTAGCTTCAGAAGTGAAACTACAGCAAGAACTTGCACACTTCCTCTTCCCACACCAGGCTGCGTCTTCTTCCCAGAGCCAGTCTCTGCCTCTCTAAAGCCTGCTTTCCCCCACCTGCCTGACTCCCCCTGCCTGGCAACCAAGACACAAACACCATCACAATGTCCTGCTTCCAGGCTGACAGGATCATTCCCGCCGGTGCTCTGGACACAGTGCCATAATCTAGGCAAAGCGTGCAGGAAGCACAGCCCAGGGCAGGCCTCTGTGAGCTCTTAGTCACCAGGTTCATATCATCATGGAGGCAGGGAGGGAGGAAGTGATGGATGGACGGGAGGGAGGGAGGGAGGGAAGCCACCGTGGCTGCTGCTCCCTGCCCCACAAGTGCCAGTCGTGTGCATAGCTCAAGTAATGGCGGACATGAGAGGTGCCTGACCAGCACATGTGGAGTGGGGAGAAGAAGGTGCCACGGCTTCCTTTCCTTCCCTGGCTTGGTCAGGCAAGCGCTGGACCCAGGTCTCCAGGACTCGTCTGAGACAAAAGCGCTGTGCTACTCGGGGCAGTGCCGCGCTGGTGGGTGGCGGGCTGCATTCCTCCCAGAGAGGCGCTTGAGCTCGCCGAGCTGGAAAGACCGAGCCCGGCCACACACGCCTCCGCCACTGCCCGCATTTGCACGGCCACGGCATCACCTGCCCACCTTCAGCTTCTGGATCTTCCCGGCCAGGGAGGAGTGGGTGCCTACATGCTGGAAGAGTGAGGGCTTGAACCGGATCCTCAGGTTCGCCTTCTGTCTGTCGCAGTGTTTCTGCAAGGGTAACAAAGCACAGGAGTGGCTCAGGATTTCGGCTTCTAGCTCGGGAGGAAGAAACATGAAATGGGAAATAGGCTAGTTAATCAACTGCTTTCGCTTCCAGGTGCCTTCGGGAGAACCATCATTTTTCAGTACACAAAGTGTGGTAGAAATGGCTTGAACACGCACTTGCTGAATGGTGCAAAATGTCTGACTAGATGCTAAATCCTTATGTCCGATGTGAAGAAGAAAACGCATTTCCTGCCCTCAGAGAAAATACCTCAGAATGCTGTAAATACGTGTTATTTCAGACATTTCTATAACACTCTCAAACAGGCTATCGTCATCTGTCCCCACACTGGTAAAACAGCCCAGTTCAAGGTGGGCCACTGCCTTCTCCTGACTCATAGCCCAACAGGCATGGATGGAGCCCAGCGGTCCGGCTTTGGTGCCATCATGGATGAGTTCATCCACACAACCAGAGCCCTCAAAAAGGCCTTCTTTAAGCTGGGCTCAACTGAGCCCTGCTGCTGGACTTACCCCTAAGCAAGGGAGGTGGAATTTAGGCTCAGGGTCCTTGTGGAGGGAAAAGAGCCTAGCACTGAAAATACGGGCACACGCGCAAGCACGCCCGGCTGCTTGAGGCGGGCACAACTCTTAGCATTGTTGACACACTGCGGGCTGTTTGCCTGCAGCTGGAAGTCGAAAGCATGGCTCACCCTCTAGCAACACAAAAGGGTCTGGCTATGGCGAAGGGGAGGACAGGGGGGCTCTTAGATACCCACATGGTGCAATCTTCCGGCTGGTGCGGGGAGTTCCAAGAACATGTCGCTAGTACTGGATCAGTTAAGAAGCTGTCAGAATAAATGATGACCTCCCTGCTTACTCGATGGTTCATTTTCAAAATGCAGCCTGACTGACTTCCTTTGCAGGTGCCTCCTTTGCCTGGCTGCTTAGCTTCTACCCAAACTGGAAGTAACAGGGGGCAGACAGTTCTGCTTTTACAAACAGTTTGTATTGTAAAAAGAGGAAACAGTTTGATCAATGCATGATGGACAAGTTAATTTACAGCATGCTAATTTACAGCATCATTTTAAAAGATCCTTTATCTTGCTCTAACATGAGGGCAAGCTTGAAAGATATATTTGTGTATGAAAATGTGCGTAAGAGATTTATGAAGAGCAGAGAGGCATCAGAAAGAGCATTACTGGCACTGCTAAGAAGTGTCTGAAGTTGGAATATGTAGAGAGCAGCGGCTTTTTGCACAATTACTACTGATATCCTTTTGAATTTGCAACAGGTTCTGGCATGTTTTCTGAACTTCCACTTTCCCCATCACAGAAAACTGTATTCCTAATTAAAGGGGCCCAAACATCCTTGTGACTGGTCTAGGCAGAAGTCTTGTGCCATTTCCCTTCCTGTCCATCACCCGCCCCTCCTCCTCTGTTACTGGTGCTGCTTTTTCTCTCTTATAAACTTTTAGATTAATGTCATTGAACCCTCATAATTGATGCCATTGAACCCTTAATTCTCTTGCTAATTTGTTTTACTAGAAACTAAGGCTGCCTCTTTAAGGAAAACCACTATTTATTATCTCTTCTCAAGGTCATCCCCCACCTTTGGTCTTTTATGACACAAACTATAAGTGCATTAAGGTGAATGAAGAAGTGATCATGCACTGTCAGCCGTTATTAAGGGGTGGGTGGGTGGGGATTAAAAGCGTGAGCCTGCAACTTAATGAAAAGGAAATGCCTGGTGTAGTATCAAGACAGCACTGGCCTGAGCAAAATGAAATGGGCCATCACAAGGTCGCCCTAACTCTGGAAAGCATGTCGCTTGTTCCGGGATCTTTCTTCTCAACTCTCTCCTGTCCCACTTGACCCCACTTTTACCCAACCAAATATCCCACTTTGCTTCCTCTTCTCATTCTCTGTGGTGCAGCATACTTAGCAACTCACCCCTAGGAGTGGTAGTTTTCATTTTTAGCACCAAGAACTATGAACTTTGAAAAAATCCTTTTTATTTGCCTGGCATTTTAACATTTAAATATTTAACTAGTTTTTAATGGTCATGCTTAGCCACATTTTATCTTATTTCATCTTATTTCATTTTATTATGCTTGTTGTATTGGTTCTGTTTATGTATTGTTATGTTTAACAATGTCGTAAGCCGTCCTGAGACATTGTTAAGGATGGGGTAAAAATACTGCAAATAAAATAAATAAATAAATAAATAAAGGGAACCCTTAACTATAGCACCCTTCAGCTAGGAAAAAAGTGGTCAGCCTACAAAAGGAAGTGAAAGTGACAGAATTCGGACTTCAGCAGAACTCAAGCTTCCCTCTGTCTAGCTCTGTTAAGCCCAAGGAAAGCAACGTGTTACTTATGGGAGCCGTCTGGAGTCTTGGCCTCAACAGAGCTGTGCATCTGATATGTACAGAAGGTCTCACGAGTGCCAGGCAGCTACAGGTGCTGAACTACACACGTGCTTTCCAGGCAAAGAGAACGCAGATATCCAAATCAGGCAAAGCATCAGCCACAAAACCTCAGGTCAGGCAAACTTTCAGTCACAGAGATAAATCCTATGAGTTACGAATTTGATTTTACACAGCAGGATTTGTAAGAGAAAAGTTTGTTTCCAAAGGTTGTTGTGCAGAGTTAATCATGCAAACAGTGGGAGATGGAGCCAGAAATCCACGCTGGAACTAGGCTACATTTTTAAATAGACAATGATTGAGAAGCTCACAGGATCCCCTGCAAAGAGCCAAGAGGGCAGAGCAAGACAAGTGAGCCTGGACACAGGGTGACATTGAAACACCGCTCCAGTTTAAAGCTTTATAAATGAGAAAAGGCACGAGCAACAACTTGTCAGGCTGGCACTGAGCAACACAAGGCAAATCCCAACCTGGCCTCGCTCAGAAGGGGGATGCCCGCCTTCCTGTTCTGAGGAACGTGCCAGCTGCCACACCTCAGGCACAGGCTGCTCACCGCTCCTGAAGACAGGAAAGCCAGCGTCGAAGAGAGAGGAGTGTCCCAGGGACACACACATCACTCCCCTGCCTTTCTACCTTCCACACCGGAGGCAGAAGAAAGCACCAATTCACCTCTCCCGGTGAAAAGCCACGGACATTTAAGGCCGAGTCTGCCTCTGGCAGCCTCAGGAAGCAGGGAGCAAGGCTCTGTTTTCCGTGGGGGCGGCACGGGGGGGTGAACCTGCAGACCGCATGCAGCGCACAGGACTCCAGAGCCATAGTGAGCCAAAGCTGTAGCCGGTTACCTTCCACAGCAGGAGCAAATCACCTGCCACCAAGTCGCCTTGCCAACTACTGCCCCACCGTAAGTACCTTTGCCCAGAAGGGAGCAAACCTGGCGATTAATGTCAGAACAGGTGATATGCTGCTGCTGAAAGTGGACTGTTCAAGACAGCCAGCAGCAGATTCTCAATCTGGCAGTAAACCTGATAATTAAAACTACTCAACACTGTTGCAGGCTAAAGATTCAAGTGAGCTGCTCCCTCCTGGCTACCAGAACGATAAAGTGCGGTTGATGCATTTAACCTGGAAGCAGTTTTGCCTTGAAGCAACGCAAGCCACCCCTTGCCATGCCAGCATCTTTCCCACAAAAGGAGCCCTGGAGCTGATAATGACTCCCAGTCTCCCTCTGGCCAGAATGATTCATCAGCAACTCCAGAACAGACTCCCACCTATCTGAATAAAACTTTTAGATTAACTCGAAGGGATTACAAAAAGACACTTCCTTAAAGTGATTATTGCAAAAGCCCTTGAACAATCTCCCATAATTTCGGCACTCCCACTGTGAAAATACTCTTACATGAAAGGGTAGAATAAGAACATTTCTTCTAACTAGGGATTGACTTACTGCATCTTTTTCTGGGTTGCAGACTTTTACCCAGAGGATATGGTCGAGGAGCCAATCAATGGGTTTGTCCTTATAGAACATGAGTATGAATTCCACAATCAGACTGAGATCCAGTGACTTGAACATCTTCCCTGAAAGCATATTGGAAGCAGAAGAGAACAGGGAAGTACAATCATGACCTGCTCCAACATTCAAGATGAGAACCGTACATTGTGCCGGCATGAGAACCACCATCCCTTGATCATGCTGGGCATTCTCCGTGGCACGTTTGGGCAACTGAGGGCTCTCTCGGCCTAACCTTCCAACTGCTGAATGCAGCAATGAGAGATACTTGGAGCTGTAGGTCTGGAGGTCCACCAGCTGCCCACCACTGCTCTGAGGAAAAGAGACTTTTAATGCAGCTACCTTGCTGCGGTCACATGAATCAGCATCCTACACCGGTAGAATTAGCTACACCCGCCTGTGCCACTTACATCTGCTGTACCTGCATCCCCTTCTCCAGGCAATGATCTGATGCTAGAAGTATATTTTGCTATACACCCCAAATCCCTCGCAGGAGATCAGGCTCTCTAATAAAGGTAGAATCCCTTAGGAATAAGGACTTTATGGACTTTATGCTTTTGCTCTGACTCAGCCAGATGGTGTTTTGCACTAACTGAAAGAAAGATATAACGTTAAAGTGTGTAACAGATCTGTGTCATACCAGCAGAGAATAAAATACTTTATCTTCCTTACGAGCAAACCACACACTCATGCTGGGCAATTTAGAATCTGTAATGAAGGCTCTGCTCAGGATACCACCCTTTGTGGATGCACAACCGCCATGCGCTCCGAGCAGAGCCTTTTTACGTGCTGCCCCCGCATGTGAAAGCGTTCCTCGTCCTGACCCCACCCCATGGCGCATTGGTCTTAGCACGTCTCCCCTTGTTATTGTTTTACTGCATTGTAATTGTAGCTCTGCTAGTGCAAACAATAGTCTTGAGCTCTCTTTTTCACAAATGGGCAGAACAAGAGGATGCAGGTAAAACGTCTTGGAGAATCAGATCTTTGGTTCAGTGAAGGCGAAGTCTCAAATCTTATTTGGTCTGCTTTTTATTCTCACTGATCTTTTCTTCATCTTCTTCATCATCATCATCCCCACCACCACCACCATCTTTATACCCTCTTTTTTCCTTTTGCAAGGAACCCAAGGAGGCTCACAATGTTTTCCTCCTCTCCATTTTATCTCATTTTAAATGTATTAGTTCCTCCTGGTGTTAATAATGCTTTCGTTCTTATGCTGTAAACCACATTGTCATTCTATATTGAAATGTGGGGTGGAAATATTGCAAGGTAATACATGTTAGGGGAACATCCTAATCAAGCTTGGGGAAGATTTGGCAGGGCCTTGGTGGCCAGTTAAACCTGAATTATTAATTGGCACTTGGTTTCTCTCTCCTTTAGTCTACTCTTTAAATGGATGGCATCTGAGAAGCAGCTATGCCTGTCAGCTGCCTTCAAATCCACTTTCTTCTTCTTCAGCAGTAGGCAAGGCTGCTAGAGAGAGACATGGTTTGCACAGGGATGTGCCGTGTTCCCTGGTACACTGGGGGCTAGCGAAGAGGGTTCCCACCTTGGTTCATCTGTAAACACAGAATGATTACAGCAGCTTAACTGTTTCTTCCCAGCTTCCCAGACAAGTATGAGCAAGAACTGCCTGGTTCTCCCAACTTGCAATAGGATGCTTGGCCTGTTTAACATTAATAAAACATTTGTGCCACATCAAAAAGCAAGAGGAAATCAGAGAATGCTGGCACCGCTGCGTGTTCTGAGTGCTCTGAATTGTGCATTGAGAGGATGAGAATGTATCTGACTCAACTTGCGCCAGTGTTGGTGCTGCTTTCTTGCTCCGGCAAACAGAGTAACAGTCCTCCAAAGAATCAGTGTGCTTCAGCATTAGCTCTACGTGAAATGCTTCTGAAGGGGTGAGGTAATATTGGAAGGAGTCTTACCAATAAACCCAAGCTGTGAAAACTCCAAGATCATCCATTCCTCAGATGGTTGTTGCAGAGCAAAGTTCTTCATTGTGCTGAGATAGTTTGGTTTGGCTACAATGTCATCTTCCAGCTACATGATAGAAGAAGGTATCAGTGTTCATGACAAAAAGATACAATATTGGGAAACGAGATCCTCTATCCTAGAATGCATCCAAGTGAAGATGGCTGAGAAACATCTGGCCAAAGGGAGGATCATCTAAAACAAGATAAAATCCACCATTTCCAGCAGCTTCCTATTTACATTAAGCAAAATGATGAATAAGACTCAGTTATGGTAAGTCAGCTGCAGAACATACCAATATGATGTAAGAAAAGATCTATTCACATAACCAAACAGGACAATTGTTTTCTAGTCGTTTTAAATAAACCACCATTAGAAAAAGGCCCTTTTATAAACAAGCCACGGTAAACAATTTAGTACCCGCAGGATCGTGCCAGCTCTAGGGTCCAGTCGAGACTGCAGAATGTCAAACCTGATACACTTGTTTTCTAAACCAAACAGTTAATTCTGCCACCCCAGCTACCTTGCAACACTCTTGCAAAAGCTAAAATGATCATATTTCTCTCTAAATTCAAACACTTTTCATATGCCCAAGTGAAGTTGGAATGCCAAAGTAAATTCCAGGTTGTGCTTGAGAGAGACTGAGCCAAAATGATCAGGCTGGCTTCAATGAGGCCCACAATAGCTGAAAATAATGGAACTGATCCCCCCCCCCACACACAAGACCCTCCCAGTCTCCCCAAACATTTTGCTTCTATTCATTGTTCCAGAGATGACACACCATAACATTTCTTGCTTGGAGTAACTGGACTTTCTTGCTTGGCCAGTGGGACATTTACCTGAACATAGTAGATGCCTTTGGATTGGGCATACATCATTAAAAAGCAGTAGTCTAGGTTCTGTTTAGTTCTCCATCTGCAAACAAGACAGAAAGATGTTACACTGCTGGCGTTAACACAAATTAAACAGAACATTTGGGATCCATAAAACTGTAATTCTTAGATGACGAAGAACCTTGGGTCTATTGTGTATGCCCAGCCATCATACTAGCCTCAATTCTAGCTGGTTTTTAGGGCTAAACTAGATGAAACATTATTAATGCAAAGAGAAATTGTGTGATTACAGAAGGCAGTAAAAGAGCAGTCACAGGAGGATCCGGATCAGATCAGAACCAAAGCTCTGTGCAGCAGAGCCTGGATTTGATCCTTTGCCCCACAACAGTCCCACTCCAGGGGTGCCTCTGGCTCCCCTTGCATGTCCCCTTCCTTTTGGCCTGGGATTAAAACTCTAATGGTCCTGATTTCAGTTTCCTCCCCTTCCCCTGCCTTGTAGCTACTATTTATTTTACAAGCTAATCATCATGTTAAAGTTAATTCTATGAATAAACTCATAAACAGTTTGCTTCCAAGGCACGTGTTCCACTACAGTCACGGAAAAAAGAGTTATATACGATTTGGCCACAAGGAACAGACAACGGGAACACGCCCAACAGAAGCCCAAGCCACACGTCACCTGCAAGGAGCACTTGCTCCCTATAAATGCCGTTTCTTCTAAGCAAACTTGAAGGCCTCTTATTTAATAGCACAGAATGCCCATTTAAATCAGGCTGCCTGTTTATTACCTGACTCTTTCCTTGGGGTCACCAAACGATTCTCGGAGGCGGGAGAAGTCTGGATAGAAGTGTGGGGAAGGGGAAATAACTTCTAGAAGACCAGAATGAATTTCACTGGGAAACCTGAATAAGGAGAAAGGCAGAAGGAAGTAGCTGTCACTTTCTGCACAGATGAAGCTGCAATTCAGGGCCAGTGATTAATGGTTCAAAACGCATGGCATGCCACAGAGACGAACAGCATTAGAAGCTCTGGACAAATTCTCTGCAGGAGGTGCTGCACTTTTCGGTCCTGTTTTAAACAGAGCCGTATCAGCAGGGTACTCATGATTCTGAAAATCCTCCCCTATTCCATTTGTCAAATGTATCACAGCAGCTGGAAGATGGAGCTTGATTTTTCAGTTTTATGTTTCTCTTTCTTACTTGCTTTTGAAAACTGCTAAAATGTTTTCTTAAAACAAATATTAACTTTTCAATATCATATACCAAATGCCCTGATCTCTGCAAGACAGCAAAATCTCTGAGTGTGTCCTTCCAGTTTATTCTTCCCATTATAACCAAACAGCTCAACCCCCAAACAGTTTGCTAAATGAACAGATGCAAGGGGGAAATGTGTGCACAGGTGGGGTGGGAAGATCTCAATGGAGTTCCCATACCAAGGACAATAAAAAACTGTGTCGCTTCCTGGAAGCAACTCGGACATAATACTCTCAGCCATCTAGGCCAGGATGGTCCTTTCCTATCCCAAAGGGCAAGGAAGGTCTGGAGATATGCACTGAACTTTAGCTCCACAAATACAAAGTCTTTGGGGTGATTCAACAGGTTGATTCTATCGTAATATTTACAGTTGAGAATTGAGAAGACATTTCTGCTCTTTCTCAGATCTGACTGGCAATCCAGTAACCTTCGGATGCTTTAGACTACAGGTATATTGGCCCTACACAGCTTGACCAATAATCAAGGAATACAGCAGTGACGGTCCAAAACCACTGCAGCGCTCCAGTTCACCTATCCCTGTGATAGAAATACTGCTGTGTTTCCTCCCCATTTCTGTGTGTGAATATAAAAGAACATTTTCTTGCAAGCATTTTCTTTGTGGGCATGTAACTGTTTTGCTTGCTTCTACTGTTCCATGATATGCCTGTTCTTTTTCTATTACACACAAGTTTCCAGATCTGGGACCCATCTTTAGCCTGAACATGCATCTGGGACCCACTCCTTTCTTTTTTACAATATAGTTGCAGGAGGAAGAGCTGCTGGAGTGATGCACCACATGGCAGGCCATGGCCAAGGGTGGATCTGGAGCACACAGCTGCAAAACCATGGCCTGGGATGCACAGATTAATCTAGGAGCAGGAGGTGGGGATGGTATTGGTGAGTATGCTGATAAGGAGAAGACGGGAGTAGGTGACTTTCTGGTTCCTTTATTTCTGAGGTCAGGCTTCCAAAAACTTGTGGATACCTCATTAGTTACCAGACTGACCTGTAAAGAGGGTACACATTTTGTTCAGACTAGGAGAGGAGAGTGGTTCTACCATCTTCAGGTCTAATCCACACACACACAGGCACAAAGGAGCCGCCTGGGGAAAAGGCGAGGAGCAGCTCGTGTTCTGCTCAGGGAGGCCTTCCCCACCCCCGGAGAGCGGAGGCCTCGGCCGGCGTTATACTTTAGAAAGACTTCTATGCTTCAGGTGGGGCTGAGGAAAAGCTTCCTGAGGTACATCCTTCTCTCAGAGGTATAATTGAAAAGGTGCCATGAGTCACCTCAGGGCTTGGAAGGGATGAGCAGGCAAAACCAGATATTTTCCCTTTCAGTCATGTCATTGAGGGTTCCTTGCATTTCAACTTGCCAGCGGGTAAACCAGAGGAATGATTTCATCCTATTAATCAATGGTTGCTTTTTAGATACAAGAGGAACCATGTGGAATTAGACCAGACGCTATCTAGTCCAGCCTCCTCTTCCCACAGAGGCCAACCAGCTGCCTGTGGGAAACCCACCAGCAGGGCATGAGTGTAACAATGCCTCCTGCCCACCTTCCCATGCAACTGGCACGCAGAGGCATATTGCCTGTGTCCTTGGAGACGGCAAACAGCCACCAGACTATGACCTCAGCTAGCTTTGCCCTCCATGAATCTAATCTAATCCCCTTTTAAAGTCATCCACGTTGGTGTCCATTGGTACATCTTGCGGTCGTAAATTCTGGTTTCACTAAGCACTGTGCAGAGTGAATTTCTTTGTCCTGAATTTCCCAGCATTGTAACGAAATAGCCAACTCTCTAACTGAAGAGTAATGCTCTGGGGCCTTGAGTGTATCTGAGGGGCCACAAGATGCTGGGAATTCCTCAGCAGTCCCAGGGCACGGACAAAAGCTAAAACCTGGGGTGGGGGGGGGGTATGAGGATTGGCCCCATACCTTGTACCTCTCTGCCGTGGCAGCAAGCGCCACTGCAGGTCCTCTCCCGAGACTGATGGCGTGGTTTTGGAAGAGGAGAGAGGAAAGGGGGCATGCCAGCGGGTGGGGAGGGGAGAGGCTATGGATCTAGTGGAAAAGAAGCCCCATCCCCGCCCCCAGCCAGGTGGGTGAGCCAGGTGGGCTCAGACACCAATCTGCACAAAATGCAAGAGAGAAGGATGGAAAGAGCATGAAGCCTCTATTGCTTCTCCCACGCTTCTCGCTGCCAAGGCTCAGGCTAGGAAAGGGCTCCAACGTTGGGACGCCTTTTCCTGTTAGGCAGAGCTGCCGGGACCTCTCTGAATCCAACATTCTGCTAAGGGCTGGGTAAAGGGGCATTATCAGGAAGCCTCATTTTATGTAAGTGCTCCAGTCACTGACCAATGAGTGTTCAGATTCCCCAGACCTGTCTCCTCTTTTCCTGAGCAACTATTGTGCATTTTGACAGCATTTTGAGTTCTGCCATTTGCTCTGGGAGGTGCCTGACCCTCTTGATCAGTCAGCAGGCAGTGGGACTGGGAGCAGAAAGTAACCCCTCTGCCTGTGTGGAGCCCCATTAAAATCAAAAACAAGAAACGTATTTCCTGTTGACAAGCTTGTGGCGTGCTCCTTTAAACTAATCTTCTTTCCGCAATATTTGAACTGTGGCTTCTTATTGCCAATGTTGTTCTCTTGATATGGGAGCAATTGCTTTTTCCTCTAAGCCATCTAAGCTAAAGACCGTATTTGTCTCCCTTGTATTTCCCCCTCCCCACATATTCTGCCTATTCAATTTAAGGCTGATAAAGCAAGCAATTTAACTGGGGAAGGGGGACAAATCACTAGGCTGATTAAAGCAAGTCTGAGGCACTTGTCAGAGGGCCACTTTCTTACACAATGTCCATCAGTCTTGTCAGGGGTCCGTTATGCAATTAGGCCGCTCGGCAAGAGCCAAAAGGAGGCAGAGAGCTCTGCCAGGCTACACATGGCAAAAAAACCATGCAATGAGCTGTTTTGCACCACTAAAAACACAACAGCTCCCCCCTCAGCTATTACAGGGAACCTCTCCCAGCCCCTGAACACTGCAGCACGTCTGGCTTGAGCTAGTAGGTCACACCATCTTCCCTGCACTCCCAGGCTCAGTCTTAGCTACTGCTATTAATAGGCAACGGGAAGAATGCCGAAGCGGTAATGAAGTCTGGGACTCTTCTATTACCTTTAGCTTCTCAATGTTCTGTCCTTGGAGCTCTGATGCTGTTAATTCCTGCCCACTGTCTCTTACAAGCTTGCCAATAATTAAAAACAACCCACCAGCACCTCCTGTCCAAATCCTTAAGCAAAAAATGCCCAGAGCAACTGATTGATGAGCCAATCCTGACACTGTAAAAGAAGCACCACCACAGAATAGTTCAAGACAGAAATTAACTGTGAAGTCAACATGGAGCTCTGGAGAAATCAGAGATGCAGACCTGGCAGGAGAGGGGTGTGTGTGTGTGTGTGGGGGGGGGACCTAACAAAGGGCATCTGGGAGGGGTTGCAGATGCCAACCAAAATGGAAGTGAACTCCAAAGACTCTCTTGGGCTTTATTTTGGACCTCAAAGTCTCTATTGGGTTTTAATTTGGTCCAAGGTCAGTGGCGCCGATTGCCATTCCCCTCCCATGCAGTAAAAAGGCTTGAGAATGCAGATACCAAGCAGAAAGTAGCTGGGTCTCATCTCATCTCATCTAAGACTGCTGTACCTGCCTTATAGCCCTCGAACAACAAAGAAACAGACCACAACCCACACAGCGCATACGGTTGGTCGAAAAAACCAGACTCCCACCAACCAAAGAATTGGGTAGCAGGGTCAGGAAGGGAGAAATGAACAGGTGCCATGATTGGTCCCATGGGCAAAAAGAGATGGGCAGTCTGATTTTTCAGCAGGCAAGAAGAAATTAAATTTACCTGGCATGCAAGCTTGATGTATATGCTTTAGCAAACACCTGATATTTTGCAGAAAGCACATGTAGTGGTAACACATTTTTCATTATTTTTATTAGATAGAGGAAAAAACAAACAGGCATTTTCCCTACAGAGAAATGGCAATATTCATATATGATGGTAGAACACTGCTTACAGGCTTTTGATATTTTCTGCCACTCCTGTTGTATACTGTGCATCTGTCTGTAAAGAAAAATCACACAATATAAGCCACTGAACACAGACAGGTTAAAGCCAGTGATATGCTTACTCTGTATCGCAAAATCATCCCTGCTATAGCAACAATGGATGCACTTCATTTTAAAACATCCTATTTAAGACGACTCCCAACTGAAGCACCCTGCTTAGACCAACACGCTCTCCACAGCCTCGACATGAGAGCCGGCATGTGTGGTGCTGAGCTGAGCCGCGAGATCCGGGTTCTAGTCTCAATTCAGCTGCGCAGCTCTCCGGGTGGCTTGGCGCCAGTCACAGACGCTCAGCCCAGCACACCTCGCAGGGCTGTTGTTGCAAGGATAAAATGGAGTCTGGTCTGCTACCTTGGGTTGCTCACGGAAAAGCGGAGGGATATACATGCAATGTGACAATATGTAATAATAGAAATGGCCAATCTGAACACTTTGGCTCCCGTGTAGCTGCCGCTTTGTATTTCTAATTGCTCACCTGTTTAGTCACCTAAGGTGAGATGAATTGCTTCCAGGGGACCAGACATGAACATTTTCCAAAAAAACCCTAGCTCTTTTTGTTTTCTTTAATCCACAACTGGAAATATGACTGGGCAGACAAATTGCTGAAAAGGGATATGCACTAGTGGCATTTATTTCTTTAACCACAGAACAGGGCAGTTCACAAAGCACAGTAAAATAAACCAATAAAAGATACATTGTATTAAAAACACACTAAAACATCATTAAACGTTTACAATACAAAATTTAAAACCACACTGTATACCATTTAAGCCAACTCTGTCCAATCCAGGCCCAATTCAAAATGTTGTCTTTGACATATGAAGCCCTAAGCGGCTTGGGACTGGGGTACCTGAGGGAGAGCCTTTCTCCAGATATGCCTGCCTGCCCACTTAGATCTTCCATTGAAGCTCTCTTCCGAATACCCCCCATCACTAAAGTTAAGGAGGAAAGGGGTGGTGGGGGGCATTCTCTGTAGTGGCCCCCAGACTTTGGAACTCGCTCTCCAGGAACATATGGCTGATATCAACCTTGCTTTCTCTGAGCTAGCAGGTAAAAACATTTTTTGTTCCGGCAGGCATTTGGTTAATCTAAATTATATTTTGTTGATGGTTATCTATTTTTTATTGTTTTAAGTTTATTTGGTTATAGTGGACATGTCTTGTATATGTTTTTTGTGTAATTTTTATTATGCTGAGATAATTTTTAATGTTTTATTAATTTATTGCTTTTATCTAATCTATCAATTGTATTTGATGTGCTTGTTCCGCATCTCTAAGCCACCCAGAGAACCCTAGGATTAAGGGCAGCATAGAGGTAAAAGGAAATGAATAAATACATATTTTAAACAGGTTAAATACATACATACATATATGAAATAACTTGTAGATGGAAAAAAGGAAAAAAATATACCTCCAGCATATATTTAGAAGACTGTAATAATCCTATATAAAGGGCAATCATTTAAGGATCACAAGGAGTCCCTCACTCTTGCGCTCTGCTCAGGCATTCTTCCAACCAGTGCTTTTTTTGTCACAGAACACACCGGAACAGAGTTCTGGCACCTTTTTTCGACAGATTTTCCAAGTTTTAAAAATAACTTTTGAAAATTTGATGTTTGGTCCACGTGGATTTGAATCGTCCTGTCAAGTGTAGCAGGTCGGCGGCAAAATCATTAAAACGGTGCATAAGGGCTGCTCGTGTGTCGAGTCCGATGCATGCGTACTTCATCTACGCTGGTTGTGATGGCGCTGCTCGGCCTGTGATTAGTCACGTGGTTGCGCGCTGAGTGCTTACTGCAGGCGGCAATCGTTACGTTTCGTTACACAACTGACGTGTGTGGGTGTGTGTACAGTGATTGACTACATGTGAAAGGTAAACGATTTCATGAATTCCGGCACCATTTTTCTTACAAAAAAAGCACTGCTTCCGACCATGTATAATCGGTACATGAGGAGAGGGGCACTCCAGCCTGGCCCCTCCACCTCTGCTTCCAGTGCCCCTGCTTGTGAGCAGGACAGCCTCCTGCAGCTCCCCAGGTCAAGACACCCACGTGCTTCGCCCCATGTGGAGATCCAGTCCAGGAGATTCCGCCGTTCAGACAGTCGCCCTCTATAAGCAGAGGGCGGCAAACATGACAACGGGAGGGGGCAGAGCCGCAGCTCTCCTCTCCTCATGCAGGACTATACCACTGTAAGAAGCAGGCCCGAAGCAGGCCTATAATGATTCCAGAATATGTTGTCTCGACGACACAGTTAATGGAAGCGGCATCACAAAGCCCCATTTCAATATTCTCAACAGACCCTGGGAACAACATGAGGCATTTTTTTTTCTTATCCTTTCTTACCAGGATAAGCTCTGGTAAAAAAGCAACGTAAGGTACAGAAGGTCAGGATAAAAGACAGCAAGCTAAGGAGAGGGTGACTTGCAGGGGGACTCACACGGAGCCCTGTAGATAAGATGTAAAAATACCCTGACACCAGTTGATACACTAGGGCCAAACAGAAAGGCAGGGTCATGAAGGAAGGCAGCTGTATGTTTCTGCATGCTGTCCGTGATAATAAGAGCTGCAAGGCTGGCACCAGACAGCGAAAGACACATGTGCCGGCCAGAGCTGCCATCCTGCTTCAACAGGTAAGTCACTTCCGCACCTGGGAGAGCTCTACCCATTCCGTCCTGGTTGTGTCTCAGTCCCCAGGGAGTGACAGACCTTCGGCTCCCCTCAAACACAGTCTTTTCAGCTTGTTAGTGCTCATACATCTTTCAAAGGAAGGGATCAAGCAACTGTGAAATGCACTGCGATGGCCCTGGATTTGAGTGGCTGCCTAAGATCAGAAAGAACTATTTAAACAGAAGCTATTAATGAAAGGAAATAATGGCACTTTCTCACATGATTATGAATGTTCACTTCAATCTCAGTTGTTATCTTACCACTCTATGGTTTTTCTGACAGTCCCACATCCTTATGTATTTATTATAGTTATGTCCTTTTTTTTCCTGCAAGGAACCCATGCTGGATTCCATGATCCTCCTCCTCCTCCTCCTCTCAGTCTTACCCCCACGACAGCAACTCTGTGAGGTAGGTTAGATTAAGAGTTTGTGACAGGCCCAAAGTTGCCCAGCGAGCTTCAGGACTGAGCGGGGACCAGAACCCAGATCTCCTGGGTCCCAGTCCAACACAATTACCACCGCGCCACGCAGGCTCTCTGTTCCTGGCTTCCTTGGCCCTTCTGATGCTCTGCATGGCCTGTCTTACCCAGTCACTGAAAGATGCATCTTACGGCTGTCCAGCACATGCTCTGATCCCCATGGTGACACTCCATCTTTTAGATAATGCAGAAGCCACTTGCTATGAGGAAAACACCAGTGTGGTTAAATTTCCAGCCCCCGTCACGTGCTGCATGTATGAAAGAGTCTTCATGCAATTACTAAGGAGTGGGGGCTGGTCCTGACCCCACCCCAAAGCTGCACAGCCTCCCTCATTTCTACCCAGAACACCTACTTTAAGCCTGGAAACTTCAAGAGGAAAACTACTCATGTGTGTGGGTTCCCCTGTGCAGACACCCACACTGATGTGGAGATGCCAGGACCTTGTGACCTCATGGGCAGCCCACTGAGTGATTCATATGCACTAGGAAAAGGGAGTAGGATGGAAATTCACAACATCCCTGGAAGCTTTAAAGTGATATATGATGCTTCCTGAGGAACAGCTGGAGCTACCAAGAACTGGCTCACCATGCAGTGGGTAACTTGGAGGCAGGGCTTAGAGGAGGAACAATAAGGATTAAATTGCACTTATGGATGTGTCACATGCAGTAACAAGCACTGACCATGCCTAACATGCTGGGGATTGTGGAGGAAGTATCTAAATAGTGTATCTGAGGTAACTTCAAACTTCAGCATCGAAGATTATACAAGCCTAGCCTAGTCGCTTCTGTTTCCATGTAGCCAGCAATTCATTTTGAAAACAGATTTTTTACTGTTCTCTTACTTTACTATTCATGTATTTTGTTTATTTAAAACATAAAAGCGTACCACCCTTCATCCAATAGATTCCAAGGCAATGAATAGCAAATACATAAGAAAACCATAACATTAATGATCAAATGAGGCAGCAGCAACTCTGTCTATCCCTCCCTCCCTCATAGGCTAAGACATTTCTCAAGTTAAATGCCTGAGTCCCTTGGACCACAAGGCGATCAAACCGGTCAGTCCTAGAGGAGATCAGCCCTGACTGCTCTTTAGAAGGCCAGATAGTGAAGATGGAACTCAAATACTCTGGCCACCTAATGAGAAGGAAGGACTCCCTGGAGAAGAGCCTAATGCTGGGAACAATAGATGGCAAAAGAAGAAGGGGACAGCAGAGGATGAGATGGCTAGATGGAGTCACTGAAGCAGTTGGTGTGAACTTAGGTGGACTCCGGGGGATGGTGGAGGACAGGAGGGCCTGGAGGAAGGTTGTCCATGGGGTCGTGATGGGTCAGACGCAAATTTGCAACTTGCATAGCATAGATCAAAAAAATGTGATGTAAATGGTTTTAAAAAGGTTGCTTCAAAAATGAAGCAGGTGAAAGAAAATTCAACTGCCTAAACTGTTCCTACAAAAAATGCATACATTTATCTGAAGCTGACTCTCTCTTTAATATTCCCACAAGATCCACAGATGTTGACTAAAAGCTAAAGACACACACATTAAAATGTCTTGTTTGTAGTCAAAGCATGCCCGTCAAACTCCTTCAGATTTCTTGATGTGTCACTTTTCCCAACAAACAATTCATCTCATGTCCAAAAAAAGCATGTGCCCAGCAGTAAGCAAAGGGCACTAGAAGTATCTTCTCTGAAACAGAAAGCCAATGCATGTGCGAGTTTCCCAATGCAAGAGACACTCGTGCTGCAAATAAATACCTCTTCTGACATGGAGATCAATTTATGTGTAAAAAGCCATCGACTTGTGAAGCAGGCCTGGATTTAGTTTTCAGGGTTCCAAGTAAGTTACCTTCATTTGCCATGTTGCTGGCACCCTTTTCCCGCTTGTTCCTAGTCAGAAGCAGCATAATGAAGATGTTCAGGCAGGTGGAGCGACAGGACTTTTTGTGCTATTGCCCAGCAGTAATTATGGCCAGGGGAGCCAGGGAGCGGCCAGTAAGCAACTCTCTGGGCGCATGTGCCTACACCAACTGGTACAGCCAAGTGAATTTCACCGGCCCTGTCTCTGAGTACACATACTAGGAGTCAAGATGATGTAATTAAGACATCCACTGTTGCCTCAGCCATGCAGCTGAATCACATCACCTACGGTGGATCCCGCTGGGGCCTCAGTGGCATTCAGTGTGCCATCTGGTGGTACCAGACGAGAGATGTGAAGCAGTCCTGCGTCCTCTTCTCTGTCTCTTGTTTTGTGAGAGATGCCATTAGCCCCTAACTCAGGCCACTGCCTTCTGGTGAATTACGAGGAAGGACATGCAAAAGGCAGAAATTTCATCTCAACAAAAAATGCCGGAGCCAGAAAGGAGACAGTAAGAGCTGCTGTTCCCTCAGCAGTAATGTGTTCTTGAAGGCTCTTTGGCTCAAAGGAGTTTGGAAAGGAAAGCATTGTTATTTAAGCATGGAGATAAATAATCTCAGAGGGAATGTTATGAGAAAATGCCTCCCCCTCACCACAAAAGGCATCCACACAGCATTAGTGTGTTGTGGTCATTCTATTGATGCAAGCTGTCAGTGTAGCAAATTGCACAGGCCTCAAATTTTGTTGTGATCCCTTGCAGGGACAGCTTAAAGTCCTGAGAGAACATCATAAAGGTAACTCCCTACCAGATCTCCTTGTACAAGGATTCGGTCAACAGCTGCCTAACATCTCTAAGAGCAAAGGTCAACAAACCGAGTGCAATTAAAATCGAAAAGACATTCACAAGGGCCAGCTTGGCAACAGCCGTGCAGCCTTCTGCTAGCATATTGACCCTCCACAGCTGAGTGCATCCAAGCATTGTTTCGCACTGGAAACAGCCCGCTGGGCCTCATTGGCAGGATGCGCCCGATGATCCTTGTCGGACAGCAGACTGAGGTTAGACTTATCTCCCTGTGCCAAAGCAGGGCCTGGCCCATGGCCATGCAGCGATACATCCTGCTGTTTCACAACTACACGCAGCCTCCTGGCTCTGCATCAAGTCTCTGTCAGACAGACAATAAAGGGACAGAGGGCTATCGAAGTTAAATTTGGGGGGGGGGGTAATTTTACCTCAGCAATCATGACAACAATGACAGAGTCTTCCTTCTCCTGCTGGTTGAGTTCCGAAATGAGAGAGTTTAAGGTATCTGTCAGGTAGGAATGCACTTCCCGCTTGACACTGGGAATCCCCATGACTATCGATACTGTAAAGGAACAAGCAAAGCATGACTAAAATTATTCATTTAGAGTATTTTGGTTGCCTCTCCACTCAATGAACGGTCAAGGGGATACATAATAAAAACAATACAAAGGAAGCATTTACAAACACATTTTTGAAGCTGGGGGTTAATAATAAAAAGAGGAGCATTAACTATTGAAAGCTTGTGGGACAATATCATTTGTTAGAGGACTCTGAAAAGGAAGGTAGCCCATCCTTCTTGCATAGGGAGTTCTTGCTAGCAGCCAAAGTTCCTCAGTGTCTCACACTTGCTATCTTAAAAGGAACCTGGTTTCCTTTGCTATGTGCCTTCAGCAGCGTCCTCCACCTGTCCTGCAGAATGAACCAGCATTCTCTGTGTGCTGCTTCCACGGTGGTCATGGAATAGGACTCTCTAAGACCACACTGGTCTCCCAGTGCTGAGTGGGGAAGCCTGCAGATGGCTTCTACTCATGTCTGTATGATGCCTAAACAGGGCATTGACTTAGTCAGCTCTTGGGGTGAGGGGACGCAAGCACACACGCAACTGCCCCCTCAGCACCTCTGGACAGCCAGGCACCGTCATTTTCTAGCTTGCAATCTAGATTGGCAAGACACTCTTGAACAGACTTGACGAGGGCAGCACAGGGACTGTGAAGGAAGGAATGGAAGGGAAGGGAAAACCCCACTGTGCAAACAGAAATCCACTTGCAAGAGAATTTTGGTGCATCAGATCCATGCTCAGCTTCTGCAGGTCTTCCTGCCCATCTGCCCCACACAGTGGGGAATAACAGGATGACCTCAGGCATGACCGCTCACACAGGCAAAGGAAGCAGAGCAAATGCTACTGTGCTGTGTCATGCCTAGGAGTTTCCTCCGGCCCTGCTGCTTCATGCACTGAAATTGAAGGAGAAGCACACGGAGCTCCAGTTCAAATCTGTCCTTGGCCTGAAATAGCCAGCTAGTTTCTCCTGCTGTTGAAGGCGCAAGCAGCATTTGTGTGTACACTTGGCTACCAAATAAAGCCTTGGCTGGTATCAGGGCCAGTCTACACATAATGGTTGCCAGGGGCAGGTTGCCTACAAATCACACCTTGGGGGCTGCTATCAAAGGGGCTCACACATGCAGTGTGCACAATTTTCTCCACACCAGTGTAGCAGTCCAAAAACAAAAATTTGTCTTGCCATGGAATAAGCTGTTGGCCCAACCATGTGAGAAAGCTATCATGACGTTCAGCCTTCCCCATCTTGGGACCCCAAGGTGCATTGGACTGCAACTCCCATAAACCCACAAACAACTGTGGTGGGGGATTATAGGAACTGCAGTCCAACATATCTGGGGGAGCATTAGGTTGGGGAAGGCAGACTTCACTCATAATTAGGGTCATCACAGGAAGTGACTGAAAGCAGCTTCTGCAAGACAACAACAGCATGTAAACTGAACTTGACTTGCTCATCCAAAATTGTTGGTGCAGCAGGCAACTTGAGTGACCTTGCCTGTTTGGACGCCTCACTCAGAACCAGAAAAAAAATCCAGGCCAGGTGGAAGGTGAAGGGAAGCGGCCTCATGAGCTGTGAGCAACGAACCCCCCTTACCTCCGGTGCGCCCCTGTCCCACATGTACAGCCGGCTGCAGGCTGTTCTCCTTTGACAGCAAATGTGGCAAATGATGAAAGATGGTGGGGAGATGCAACACATTCTTGTTCGTGATATTCCACAGTTTCAGTTTTGTTTCATCTGGGGAAAAAGGGGTGGGGAGGGGAGAGTACAATCACTTTGCAAGACTGTAAAGGGGAAGGAGAGGCTGTAAATCTGTAGAGCTATATCCACTTCATAGCACCATCTGGCCAGCTGAAATGCTCACTTAGCGTAGGTTAATCAGCCCAATCTTCTTCACTTGCACCCATGAATCTCATTAAGTTTAGGAGGAATTGCTTAAGGCTCAATACAGATAAGTATCCTGCTCCCACAGCATTGCCAGTCTTTTGAGATGAAGGAAATAGAAGTTATAGCAGATCTTTGCCAAAATGATTGACATTTGCACCCAGTACTTGCGCACTTTTAAAATCAAATCATAAGGACCCAATTCTGTCTAAGAGGAATGCTCTGAAGCTGCAGTGTTTGGGGAGACTGACTCTACACAGACTCACCGAAAGTGTTCATTGCCTCTCGGCATGCATGTGCCATGCAAAATGCAATTGCTCACAGGCCCAAGGTTAAAACAAGTGAGGTTCTTCTAGCAACCTGAAGACGAATATGTTTATTTTGGCATAAATGTTTGTAGATTATAGGCACTTGCCTAATACCAACACACATTCATTAGAGTGTAAAGTGCCTCAAGTCTTGCTTTTGCTGCAACAGGCTAACCGGGCTACCCTCCGGAAAATATGAAAAACAAGTGTATCCCAAATTTAATTTCAAAACGAGATTCTGTTTTCCACACTACTTGCTTGCAGTTATGAATCTTTTAAAGTCATGCACCCCTGCTCAGTGCTTTCCAGATGCAACAGCTCTGAGGTGGTTTTGCGGTCACCACGGGGGGCACTGAAGCGGCAGTGCTTGCACTCCGCATGGCCTCTTGGCCGGCTGGGCCTGTCCATGGGAAATGGCTGGCCAGGGCCATGGCCAAGAGAAGAAGCTGGCAGGAGGGTCCCCAGGAAGCTTAGCAGCATGAAGGGTGAGATGTGTGGCCTCTGAGGCAACGGAGGGCCTAAGAGCAGCAAGGGCCTGTGGCTGACACTCAGGATGGACGAACAGCTGCGGGCAATGCAGGGCGAGTAATTTGGCTGCAGAAGACTGAGCACACAGAGGCGGGGTTTCTACTGGGGCTTCACAAACAGAACCTTTTGCATCATCATGCCTTCACACTCATCTTGAGGGCATGATTCCTGAAGGGAGCCACTTCATGCCGCCCTGCTACACCACTCCTTGGAGTGATGTGATGCTTTCAGGGACCTTTACATGCACAGCACTGCACCCTGTGACCTGCTGCCTGCGATGAGCCTGACCTGGGAGGCACGGAAGGCCTCGCTATCTGATGCTCTGTGCGCACGTGCCTGGATTCAGCCCATCTGATGCTCTGTGCGAACGCGCCTGGATTCAGCCCATCGTGAGCTCATCCTCATCAAAGCCTGATTTACCAGATAAGCTGCTCCATGTCCGGTTTATGTCTCGCAGGGCCTGCTTCTCAGAGATGGCTTGCTTTATTTCATCTAGGACTAGGTTCAGCTCCTTGGACCGCTTGAGGCTCTCCTGTTCGGCAGCGTGCAAGCGGTCTCGTAGTGCTAGGAACTCTCGCTGATAGATATCCACAACATCACCTGGAGAAAAGAGAAAATGCTGTATCTATTTCTTTCAATTTCTGTAGTGCAGACAAAGCAATGCTATCTTTCTACATTTTTTCTGAGAGAGATAAGCATCCTCTTCCTACTGCTAATTTGGAAATAGGAGATGGGGTGGAGGGGGAGAAACCCTTCTGATTTTGCGAGACATATCAGCTCAGTACAATATGCTCTTCCTTCAAGCAAGTCTTTTAAATATTTAAACATTCACACCTGTATTCATGGTTAATGCCCTTGGGCAGGAGTTCAGATAATGCACATAATTTTAGAAGTACCCAGGAGCAAAGTCTCAGTTAAATGGTTTATATATAAACTAAATTCCTTTGAAAGTCACCTTAGGAAAGTCAGCTTGCTACAGTACATAGGTTTTCCCATTTTGTTCGAACTAAGAAAAGCAGAGAGAAGCAGTGATTGGGTGTATACTTGCTCATTTATCTGAAGAGGTACGATTATTGCAGATACACACTCTCCCACCCTATAAAGCACAAGCAGGCAACTTGTGGTTCTCGAGATGTTTTGGCCTACAATACCCATCAGCTCTAGCTGGCTTGGCCAATGCTGGGGGATTGTGGCCCTACCTGTTTAACAGTGGGCCCACTGAGAATATGCAAGTGAGAATATGGCAGGACTTTTCTCATCTTTGACCATTCCTATAAGTGGATAAATGCCACAGAGTATATTCAGGCAACGGTATCTAACCACACACTGGTTCATTTCCATGTGTGAGTGCATGTGTATACACACATACAGCACATCTGTAATATTCATGGATGAGCTGACATGCTGAACTAAGGTCACATTAGTGAATGCAGCCCAGAATTGTAAATCCTGGGCATTTTTAATACGATCTAAGAAGTATTTCAGAAAATAGTCAAGGGAAGTTATCTGACAGCCCTAATTTTTCAAGAGTTAAGAAAAGGAACGTACAGGGAGGAAAAAGGAAAGCCAACTTTCTTTATCATGAGGCAATTATTTCTAAAACAAGCCAGAGAAAACGCATCGTGCAAACATTGTTCTAACTTGTCCTTGCAGGCTTGATGACAACAGGAGATGTCATGCTGCAAAGCCAAAGATTTGTGGGTAGGGAAGGAATAGTATTACGAATAGGGAAAATGGACTTTCCTCAACTTAAGTTTAACTACTTCCCAAATATTATTACTATGGCAACCTGTGTTCATGAGAGCAGCCACTGGAAAGCACAAAAATAGCTTCTTCAATAAAAACAACAAATCCATCTCTCTCTACTTTATTTCCCACACCCAACACATTCTGTAGAAACCGGAAAACAGAATCCCAGCCATGAGCAACTTAAGGAGAAAGATCCAAGGGGCTAAATTAAAATACCACACCAAAAACTCTAATGAAAACACTGTTGGAAGACAAAGGGAATCAGGATGCTAATCGCTATCACCTTGTGAAAGGTCAGGGGAAGCTCAGGAATAAGACCTGCGAGGCGCCCCTCTCTCCTGCTGCCAGCTGCTTCACAGCTTGAACAAGTAAGGGAAGGGTGTGGGACCCCAGACTGCCCCCTGAGACAGGACAAGGCAGTTCTTTGGGAAACAAAATCAATGGATGGAGCGAGTGTTTAATTAGCAGGCTGTTAGCCATTTCCCCGAGTGTCCTGTACATAAATCATGCTTCTGCTTAGCTAGAAGTGGATTGCTGGCAAAGTCAAAGGCATATTATTTTAGAAAGACATATCCAGAAGGCAGTGATGGACAAGCAGCTGCTCCCATAACCATGACTTTATTTCCCACGGGCTTCTGTTCTAGGTCAGCTCCTTCTTCCCTGTCTTAAAATTCAGCCATGAGTGAAGACAGCATGATGGCCCTGCTCAGACACTCCTGGCACAGAAATCAGAGCTGGGGGTCCTTCGCAGCATTTAAAGCCTCTGGTCATTCCGCGTGCTGGACCTCAGGGAGGCATTTGACAGAAATTAAACTGCAGCAAAGACAATGGGGAGGAAGAGGGTGAGGTGAGAAATATTTTTAATAAATCAACCTCTGTCCATCGAGCACACCCATCCCAAACGATCACATAGCTGATGTTTTGCAGTATCCCAGTTTGCAATGACAGTGGCTCCTCACCACCACTTTTTCTGAAGATCATTGTCACAACACAGTGAAAGCTCCTCCAAAGCATCCAAGGGACAAAGTGGTCCAGATTTTTCATGGCTACGTATGTATGTCAAAAAAAAAAAAACACCCCCCACAACTTTTTAGCCCTGGCAAAAACCCTGTTTTAAAAGAAACCCTTATTTCCAACCGCTGTCAAAAGTAACAACTTTAAAAGTCACTGTTTGAAAAGAAACTCTTGCTGCTGTAACTGTCAAAAGTAACAGCTCCTGCAAATTGGCCGGGCTGCATCATTTCACTTTCCCAAGCACCTAAAGGCTCAGGAAGAGTGGAAAAACCAGAGCCCCCGGAGAACTGTCAAGCCTAGCCTTAAAGCCTAAAGGATCTTGCTGCCAACGGGTGAAGCAGCTGACACTCCTCTCACAAGCAAATATGTCCCCATGGCTTGGCTTTGTACTTGACAGCTGTCCAGTGGAAGCAAAGGCAGGTCCTTGAAGCCCGGTTTTGTCAATGTCTGCAGATGGTGCTCTGCTGTCACTTACCAAGACAACAACCAGGGAGGTCTTCTCATTTTGGGCAGCCGGAATTGTACAATGCACAAGAGAAAATACATACAATTGGATCTCACAAAAATCTTGACGGAAGAGTGGGGTAGGGTGAGGAGATGGGGGAGACTGTGATGCTGCGAACTGCTCTTTCCCCACCTCTCATGGGGTGAAGCCAGTAGGACCAGCGTCCTCATTCCCCTTCAATTAAAAGTGAGCTCAGTAGACATGCAGTTTCATCTGGAGGTATCTTGTGCGGAGAAAGCAAAGGAGACTATTGGGAAGCCTTGAAAAGGCTCTCAGGGTCACTGCTTTTTGGGGAGTCCACTGGAGCTACTCCTCCCCCAGAAAATTATCACAATTTTAGCACACACTGGAATATGTACCTTGCAGAAAATCACAACAATTATTTTTTAAAAGATACATTTAAAGAAATCTGGGATCTAATGGCAGTCACTTCTTAAGGGAGATGGTTTTGGGTAACTTCCAGGTGACACGCCACTGAGCCAAGCATTCCACTACCAGCAAAAATACTTAGGGTAGATTCCCCCTGGTCCCAATCCAAATTGAAAGTAGGTAAAGTAGGTAAAACTATCAGGCTCAGCTAAATATTATGCTACTTAATTAACCTAACTCAATTAACCTAGTATGTCATTTGGCCCTCAGGCAAACTCACAGAGAAGTTCCATTTTCCTTCCTTCTCTCATTTAAACATTTTCTCAGTTCATTGCTCTTATTACTATAGAGTTCACAGCTGTCTGTACACACATTAGGCATTAAAGCAGAGACTGAAGCCCACATTCAAGACTCGGACATAAGCAGGGGAAGGCACAAAGTCTTGCCACGCAAAGCAACAATTTAAGGAAAAGGAAAGAAGAAAAACGCAGCACAAGAACATGTGTGCAAAGAAAAATGACAGTTATCAGAGACAGTGGTCATTTCACAAAACTTCCAAGACAGAAGCTGTAGAAGATGGCTAACCATGAGAAAACCATGCGACTAACCATGTCTGCCCACAGGAGCCATTGTATGGTTGTGCCCAGGAGGTTTTCTCACATTTCTAAATGTACCAGCAGGACCACCTCTGTGTGCTGGAACTAGCAATGTTGCTAACCCTCCTTACCAAAGCATTTTCCCAACATTTTAAAAAATAAATGGTACTTCAGAAGAAAGTGTGTGGGGAGGAGTCAGGGGAATAAAAGAATGTTTAACGGAATGAATGTCAAATGAATATTTAAATGGGTATGTGATACTTTAGAAGTTTGCAGAGGTGGACAGCTTTGCTGAGGAGCAAACTGTGGCATGTATGTTTGTCGTTTTCAAAGTAAAGTCATGTAGAAGATCTGCTCAACCCAAAGGAGGAAAAGCAGGTGCTTCTAAGTATGTCTGCACACATGTTAAGAAAAGGTTCTTAAGGAGCCATCCCCTCGGGAGAAGAGGGGGATGCTGGCTAGGAGAAGGGCCTGGGAGACGAAGGTCACACCCCAGCTCTGGAATAGGCTCTCTGGAGAGTTGCATCTGTTGCCAGAGTTGCTAGCATTCTGGCATCAGGCAAGAAATTACCTTTTCTCCAGCTAATTTATGTAACAATTGATTTTAATGGTAATCTGGTTTTAAATTGACCCTATCTCTGGTTTTATTTGGTTTTAGATTAAATTGTCTTGTCCTAATCTAATATTTTTATTTTGATATATTATATTTGGATTATACACACACACACACATATAAGCATATGTTATTGGATTATGTTTTGAGTATGTTGAGCTGATGCTATTGATTTTAGAATGTGGTGTGGTTTTATGTATTGTGAGCTGCACAGAGCGCCCAGATACGGGCTGTTGAAGCAGCATACAAATCCAAATAATAAATAAATAAATAAAAGTGAGAATCCCTATGAAGAAGTCAAGCACACTGAAACTGAACTTGAGCTTTCAAACCTTTTATATAAAACCTGGGAAACAAATAGAAGGCAAGATGTTTATTCAGTGAACAAACAGAAGAGGAAGAAGGCAGCCTGCCACCATTGTCTTAGACAATGCCCCACTCTTTCCACCAGTGTGACAGGCAGTAGGCACAAAAAGAAAATTCCTTTCACTTAGCTAAATTCTTCCAAACTTAGCTGAATACAAGTTTACAATTCCAATTCTAGATCCTAAAATTATTATTTTTTTGTTTCCCAAATCTGCTGTAAGATTCTGTCTCCATTTTCATTCCTTTGGTTTATCCCTCATGGAGATAGCATGCAATTCCATATGTTTACTTAGCAAAAATAGGTACTGTGAGTTTCACATCTGAGAGCCTGTTTTTACTTTAAAATTACCACACTGGGACTGCTGCAACAATCACCCAATACAGCAGT